CCCCCCCCCCCCCCCCTCGGCATCGCCATCCCAGACCCCGGGAATTCGAGAACCCCGGGCGCACACAATGACCTGATCAGAGGAAGCTGATGACAGGAACGTATTGTCGCCGACTCGCAGCAGATGATTCCCCGCACGCGCAAGCAGCTCGAGGAGGCGCTGGTTGCGCTTCAGGACCTCATCGCCGCTCTCGAGGAGGACAAGGCGGTCGCCGGATCCCAGGAGTATCAGGAGGCAGTCGCCGCCGCCGAGGCGGTCCAGGCGGCCAAATAGACAACTCCGCATTAGGCAGCCCAGTAGATGTGATTAGATTTATAGCAAGTACGATATGACAAGCTACATGTGACTAATACCATGCTCGTCGTCGCTCCTGGTTGCTCGCTCGTGATCACTCGTGATTCATACTCCCACGGCGGCCTCGGTGCCCTTCTTCCGGGCTATCCGCCGCTTGAGACTTGCCCTCAGTCCGTGCGCACATACGACGCAGAAATGGGGCTGGTTGACGTTACGCATCAGGCAGTCCTCGTTCGTCGGGCGTAGGCTCACGTCTCCATTCTCGTCGTATGTCGGGAAAGCGCCCACGAACCCAGGTTCGGCTTGGAAATCTTCGGCGTACTCAGCGATCTCGATAGATGAGAGCATCTTGCCGCCCTGCCCCGCCTTCGCCCTCCTCCCCTCGTTCGTAAGAGCCACCTCAACCCTCACCTTGCCAGCGGGGAGGCCATCTGGCAGGGGCAGGTGGACCCACCGCCGATCGAGCACGCCGTCCCAGTCCTCCGCGAACTGCGGCGAGAGGTCTACCACTACCCCGTTAAGGGTGAGGCGCACGTGCGACGCGTACGGAATTGAGGAGAGGGACAGGCGGAGGCGGGCAGAGGTGTATCTCCTCTTGTCCCTCTTCCTGTTGCTTCCTTCGAACCGGACGACGTACTTGCCCTCGTCGAGATCGTGCCACGGATATGCTTGCAATGGGACCTTGGCATCCTCGACCCTCACATGCTCCGGATCGGACAAGAACCTCTTCCACTTGAGTTTGTGCACGTTCTCCACTGCGTCGGCGTTTACACCGGAATACACGAATCCACCCTCATACTCTTCGCCGACGGGTATGAGGCTATGTCCCAGCTCATGGCGGAGGACAAGCGGCCCGTTACGTTGAGAAGCGGTGATGATGCTGCGGTCAGCGTGTCCATGGGGTAACTCTGTCGCCCGCTGTATTCCCTCATCTGTTGTCGGCATGATCACTCACGTGAAAGTCCCTCCCAACCCTCCGTACAACCCGTCGTTTCCCAGCAACACGGGCTGATCACACTCCTTAAACTTTGCACAGGCGGCGTGCGCACGCCCCGGATGCCCCACATACACGGCGCGCAGCTCACGCCCAGGCCTATATAGTCCGAACGGCGCGCCTGGAAGCGGCTCGTCTATCCCGATTCCGGGAGAAGCGGAGGGCGCGAAAATGCCCCAAACATTCAAGAGATCGGCGACGTGCGCCATCGCGCTGTCACCTGACACAATGTCGGCTGCGAGAGCGCGCGCGTCGGTGAGAAAGGTCTCGCGGTCGGACGCAGTGTCTGGTGTGAGCTTCCGAGCTGGGGAGAGACCCACACCCATCGGCGAAGATTGCGAGGTTGACGCGCTCGCCCGCCTCGCCGCTCACGGCGAGGGGGTGGAGCTCGAGGCCTTCGGGTGGGTCAGACTGTGAGAGGGGGTAGTATACGCGTGGAACGGGGGCGGCGGGCGCGTCGAGCGTGATGTTAAAAAGACGCCCGTAGTCGGACTGCGGAGGGGCGGTGACGGGCGGAGGAGCAGACATGGGCGAGGATGGGAGCGAGGGGGCAAACGCGGCCTGATGGGGCAGGGCGAGGGCCGCCCCGGCAAGTATGAGCGCAGCGAGCATGTCAGCTCGAAGATAATCGCGCAGAAGTTGGGGGAGTGGAGAGAACGAGGAAGCACTGCGACATCTCGGATGATATATGCGCCAAGTACGAAACCAACTGCGGTAGTACCTCATGCACCCCCTGATGTCATCTATCTCGGCAGCGGCCCACTCCGCATTCCGTGCCCCACATCCAGCAACCTCCACACACAACACGACAAGAGCGTCTCCAGAGCGCATCTCAAGCACTTGATATGCGCCGATAGTCTATACGTGTCTGCAAATATACAACACGCCAGCGTGCTACCTTTTGTTCCCGCTGCGGGGCGCCCTACACGGCCTATGACACTGCCTACGACTGTTGAGGCGTCCCTGACGCCTCCAGCACCAGTTCACCTGCGCGGAGGAAGAACCCGCGCACGGCCAGTCGCATCTCTGGCACCGAGTCGCGGAGCAGCAGGTCCGCGACGAGGGGGTAGAACGTTGGGAGGTGGGTGCGGAACGCGTCGTCTTCAAAGTCCGTGGCGCCCCGCACAATGTCGCTCACCACTGGACTCCAGGCTGCAACGTTGCGCGGCTGCGCGTCGGCGTCGATCGCGATGAAGTCGCGCGTAATTTCCGTTGCGAGGGGCACGAGACGGTCGAGCACGCCGCCTCGCGTGGCCTGGTGCGCCGCACGCGGATCTCTGTACATCCGAAGGAGGACATTGATGAGCGTTGCTGCCGCGGACGACTCTTGCTTAAGAAGATTGGGGAGCTGCTTCATGAAGCCGACCTTCCAGAGCCGCATACGGAGATCCTTGTTCGCGTTAAATCGGCGAGCGAACCGCCACGAGTCGTCCAACACGCCCATGAAGCGCAAGAGGTGCTCTGCCGGAATCGTGTTGTAGACATCGTCATTTTGAAGCAATTCGTGCGTCGTTTCGATGAGTAGCAATTGCAGGACGCATTTGACGATGATCGTCTTGAAAATGCGCCGTTGCTCGCCGTACGTCAGATTGTGCAGGGGCAGGGGGTTCGCAGTCACGGTCTCGAGGGGGGCGGGCGCCACAAACTTGTGGAATGGCGCGTCCTCATCGACGTAATCCTGCGGCGCTGGGACCTCAGCGTGCAACGCATCATCGAAGAGGTGGTAGGCGGTGGTGGTACGGAACAGCGCGACGAAGGCGGTCACGATAATCTCCCAATTCTCGGCGCTCAACTTGGTTACGTTGTTCTCCAGCAGCTGCTGGAAGCAGCTCGTACCAATCCTTGCAAGCGTGTCGTTCTCCTGGCAGATACATGCGACGAGAATGTCGAGTAATCCGTCAAGGTAGCGCTGCAAGATGTCGAAGTAGAACGTGTAGAGGTCGATGAGATCGCGCAGGGCCGAGATGAGCGTCGTACTCAGCCACACGCTCATGTCCTCTGGCGACTTGAAGCGAACGTGGCTCTTAGCGCGCAGCACGGCAAAGATTGGGAACAGCGTTTGCTGGCAAACGATGTTCCAGAACTCCACACTGAAGTCCTTGCCGTGCTTCTTGAGAGTTTCGAAGAGGCAGTCCAGGGCCACGCGGCGCACCTCGAGATCCTCACCGGTCATGATGATGTCGAAGAATGCGTTTAGCACTGGCAGCCAGTACTTGAGCATCGGATCATCGCTTGGCGCGATAGCTGCTGGCGCCTCACCCTGCACCTGCACCGGCAGCAAGCACTCAGGGTTCTCCAGCATCTTGGGCACGAGTCCGCGCACCATGTCGATGGCCTGGAGTGAGATCTTCTGGAACTTGGACACCTTGCAGAAGTCGGTGAGGCAAGTGGCGAGGTCTGCGAACGCGCCGTAGCGCACGACAAGCGAGAAGTGCTCGCGGTACACGAGCGAGACGAGCTCGAAGGCGTGATTAGCGACGCGCTCCGTGAGAACCTTCGATGCGGCAGAGAAGACGGCAAACATCGTCCGCCAACCCGAGCGCAGGTTCTGTACTCGCGCCTGAATCATCTGCTGCAGGCACTGCAGAACCATCTCGCGAGCGTCCGAGTTCATGTTGTGCACAATCGTGTACTCGAAGGGACGGAGGAAGTCTTTCTGGAAGCGGAAGTGGGACAGCTCCTCCTTTTGCAGGAAGTTCATCGACAGCTGGCGCAAGGCATCGAGCGCGAAGAATGACACGTTCGGGTTGTTGTGGCAGCACACTTGGTTGAAGTGCTCGCCGAGGATGAGCCAGATGTTGGACCACTCGAGACGGATGCGTCCCATATTGTAGTACGAGATCTCGACGAGCTTCTGAAGCGAGAACATGCGGGGACGGTTTGACGAGCCGGTCGACTGGATCTCCTCCCACGACACCTCGCTTAGCGCCTTAACGAAGTCAACGATGGCGGACTGAGGTCAGCAAGATCAATGCCGCGTGAACTCACTCCGGAAAGATTCTTGCTCAGGGCAAATACGCGGTCGGCTGCCACAGTGACCTGTGACGATCGCGACTCCTCAGCGAGCTCGTCAGCTGGGGCGGCACCGCGGCGCGTTTTGCTAGAGGTAGAGCGGCGGCTCGACGTCGATGCTCGACGGTTGAGATCAGGCACGTCCATGCCACTCGAGATGAGCTGCATGCGCTCGATCTGCGACACGCAGGTAAGCACCTCCTTCCAGCTCGCCTTGAGGTTGTTGCCATCAGTGACTGCAATGTCGAGCAGAGTCTTAATCGCCTCCATGTTCTTGGGCTTCATCTCAGCGAGGTTGTTCAGGAAGGTGAACTTCGCAAGCGTTGTCACGAACGCGTTGCGCTCCAGCTCCATGTCGAATAGGCACACAATGCGGATGGCCGCACGCAGACCGTCGAGGCACAGCTCAACGGTGTCCATGTCGTCCGTCTCTTGCAGCTGACCCGATATGCCAGCCAGGAATGGCATCCATGCAGCCTCAAACATGAAGCGGACGTGCTCCACGCGCGAGGCGGCGTAGTAGTGGTCGCGAGCGCCCCTGCGACTCGAGCGAGCCATGTGCTTGAGCAGTGCCTCGGTCTTACTGGCCATGTTCTCCGATTGCGTGAGGAACGCCTCGCGCTGCAGGTCGCGGCCAAGAGTGGGCCCAGTCGGACCACCAAGTGCCGCCTCGACCTCGTCCTTCATCCGAATCTCGTTGGAATGAATTTCGTCATAGATCTCCCCGAGGAAATCTTCGGGCAGGTCGCCGCCATCGTTGATCCCGCGGTTGTTCCTCACAAACTCAGGCTTGGTCATGCGCTTCTGCTTGTAGTTCTTGTTGTGCTGGTCCGTGTTAAGCATGATGATCGAGAACGAGAGGATGTACGCGGCGTCGGCGTTCGCGAATACGGAGCCCGGATTCTGGTGCATGAAACGCTCGGCGAACTTGAGCATGAAGCGATCAATCTTTTGCGACTCGCCAGGAAGACGGAAGGTCTGGAGGTACATGCGCATCGCATCCGTGAAGAGCATGCCGGTGAAATTGAGCATGTCAACAAACGCGTGCATGATCGCCACATGCTCAGCGTCTCCCTCACCGAGGTACTCGCCGATCATGGCTTTGCTAAGGTGCTCGTTCGTGAGCAGGAATCGCGCGATGTCTTGCGGCTGCCTGCTGCGGATAAACCCGTGCTGCACCAAGAACTCGATACCGCGCTTCGGTTTGAAGTTGAACTTCTTGACGCCTTCCATAAGCATTGTCTTGCGTTGCTTCTCGTTCTCCAGTTTGGAGACATCGTCATTCTCAGCGAGCTCGGGGTTTGGGCTCCCCACCTCACGCGGCGTTGGCGCAGGTGCAGCAAGCTCGTTTGGCCCGCCAGACCGAGGACGGTCCAGGTCCTCACTCGCGCGCGGCGCGTTGGGGTCGTCCACCCTGCCAGGGTTGCCGCTTGACCACGTCGCAAGCGATTTGAGCGCGGCAACGAGGCACTCGAGAGACTGGCGGCGCAGCTTGATTTCGGGCGACAGGCCAGCGTACTGGGGCGGCTCGTGACTCAGCGCAGTCGTGCTTAATGACGGAGGAATGGCTGGGCCATGCCCGCCTGACGCCTGCTTGGATGAGCCAGCCTGCAGCTCCTCCTTGCTTGGCGGCGCAAAATGCGTCTGACCGATCTTGGAGACTGTGTTCATGAGCTTCTCGTAGATGTTCTCGGGTGCTGCGCGGTCGCAGTCGTAGTTGAGATAAATCTCCACAAGAGCTTGAGGGTCATTGCACAGGCGGATGAAGACGCCGAGGATCAACGACTTCTGGCGGATCGTCGAATGCCGCATCTCGAGAATGGGGATAAAAATCTCTCTGAGGAGCACCTCGACCTCCTTCTTGAGCGGCGCGCGCATCGACTTCAGGACACACCAGAAGATCTCAGTGCTCAACTCGAAGACTTGGGTCACCGGGCTGACTGCGTTGCGCGACAGGCTCTGGCACAGGTACTGTTTGATCTCCTGAAGGAAGGGGGTATGCTCGGCCGACGAGCTCGAGGGTATGGTGACAGCGGGGTTGGTAAACAGATCAGCGTGCGACTTGAGGAGGGTGAGGATGAGATGTAGCGATAGAAGCTTAGACCGCATCGCGGGCGATCGCAGATCGAGCTCGCTGTCCGTGACCAACGGCTTGATGCTCAGTTTGCAGAGCGCGCGGAATACGAGGAACGCGTCCTTAACGTACAGCTCCTCGGTGGGAATCGGTCGCCCTTCGGCGTCGTAGTTGCCAGCCTCATCACCGTTGGTGTGTACGTTCTCGGGTGTGTCCAGGCCATCACCGTTTTGCACCTGAATCGAGACCGAGTTTTGCGCAGCGGCTGCCTGCGCACTGTCGCTAACATTCGCATCGCCTGCGAGAATTGCAGGCACAGCGGTGACCGAATCGCTCGGGTTGGGCGCGGAGAAGCTCTCTACAGTCAAGCGTTGCCCCGAGTCGGGGCGCGGCGATGCAGGCGTGCTCCCCTCCATCGTGGGCGTTTGAATGCCCATCCCATTCAACGTCATGACACTGTTACGGTTGTTACGGTCGGGGCGCACGACTCGCGAGAACACATGGTGCACCATCTGCGTGACGCCGCCCTGCGCGACGACTTGATTATTCGTGTCGTTGCTCAGCCTGAAGACATTGTAGACGGTTCTGACGGCCTTTAGCAAACTGCTCTGATGGACGAGCATGCCAGGGTCGGTGCTAAGCACTATCGCCATGAGCGCCTTGACGACCTGCAGCGCAACATTGGGCGGCGAGTTCTCGTTGTAGCACAACGTGATGGTGTGCGTGATCAAATCTGGAAGAGGTGACATGCCCTCTGGAGGGCCATTGGGCTCGGAGAAGAACGAGTGCGAGATGAGCTTGGACAGGAGATCGAGGCTGGTGACGAGCGTTGGTACGCTAGTGTGTGTAGGGTTAGCAATCGCAAGACGGAGCGGCTCGAGGATCTCCCGCGGGTGCAGGTAAGCCGTTTCGCCGTCCTGGCAGAGGTCGAGAGCGCGCTGTGCTGCCTTGAGGAAGTGGGGCGATTTCTTCGCCTCCTTGCTCGACACGAGCACCTTGAGCGGGGGCATGATAATGATGGTGGACAGGTGCGGCGCTGGTCCGGAGCCAGGGCGCGCTGCGAGAGAGATCGACGTGCTCGTCGATGTACGTCTGGCGTGTCCCAAGCCGCCTGAGCTTGGCGCTGCCGAGGAAGGCCGGGATGGTGTGGAGACAGACGGAGGGCGGGAGTGCACGCTCGACACGCTGCCAGAGGCAGCGCGATTTGGCGTGCCGCGCTCTGGAAGAGGCGAGACGGAGCCTTCGGTGATGGTCGCCAGCGGCGTGGCCGTCCCCGAGCGGGAAGGCATCCGCTCGAGCTGCTCTACTGGTGCACTGCCTATCGACTCGCCGAGTGGCACCGTGGGCTTTTCGGGACTTTCAACCTTCGGCGGCGGGGGTGGGGGTGTGTCCATCGCTGTTCCGTTGTCTGCGGGTGTATCGGCTGATGGACGAGTGTGAGACGAGCCGTCCTCAGCGAGAGGAGGAGCTGGAGCCTCCGAGGTCGGGGCGGATCCACTGGACGAGGGTGGGTCGTCGTGGGGAGGAACCGGGGGAGGCTCGTCGTGAGGCGGGGGAGACGGAGGATCGTCGTCGTCTGCTGTCGACGCAGGTTGTTGCTGGTCAGAGGGCAGTCGTGATCCGTTGGCGTCGGTCAAAGCGGCCACGCTCTCCTCAACCTCATCGGTTGCGACTGGTATGGACTCTGCTGGATCCGCGTCGGACCCCATTGCTGCAGCTGCAGGAGCAGGAACAGGGGGCGCTGTGACCGCGTGATCCTGGGGATCTTCGTGCACAGCGTCGGGTTGGGACGTGTCGGTCTCGACTACGGGCATGGCGAGCTCGATTGATCAAAAGCCATGCACGAGTGCGAGTGGGGTAATGTATTGGAGCGAGACGGAGATGTGGGTGATGGCAAACGATAACGGCCGACGTCTGTCTTGGATGGAAACGTCGCGCTGTCGTGAACCGATCTGGATTGCGGGTTCAAGACTCGTGGCTCTCGTGGCCCGCGAGCCGCCGCGAGCCGCGCCACCGCCTTGCGACGCGAAACCTACAGTATTCCCACAGACTTGATCCCTTAACCACACCCCTCTCGAAATCATTAGATCCCGCTCGACCCCTTTCCTAGCGCTACCACCACCATTCGATAGCTCTCGCTTCTCTAATCATGTACATTCGTCTCAACTCTTTTGCTATGTCTACAACCCAACTCACGCAAAACTCTCCACGCCCGGCAGCCAGCCACGGGAAGCATCCTTTGGCCCCTTGTCCTTGATTATTCGCGAGGACAACGCCGACAGCGTGTTTGCCTGCTGCCACAACGCGTCGTACTTGGCCTTCTCGTCCGAGTGGCTGTGCACGTCAGCGAGGCGTTCTGACTCGTACTTGATAGGCAAACTCACAACCGGTTCAGCACAATGTGGCCTTTGACCTGATCGATCTTGCCATTGATGCGACCGTCAAGAATCAGCGATACGACCAAGTTCTCGACCTCGGGCGTAGAGAGGCTAAGTGTCTGTACAGTCAGCAATCATTTGTGGAAGCACTGACATCTGCGAGGAAATCAAGGTTCAACCTTGTGTAAGGCTTGATCATGTCGACGATATAGTTTGTCCGCAGGGTCCGGAGGAGGTCATCAATGAAGAAACGAATGAACGGGTCAGAGGTGATCGTCGCAGCGTTGGCTGGGATAAGCTGGGAATTTATGGAGACAGCGTACCTTTCAGAATGCGTTCTGCTTGCTTGACGTCACGGTCCTGGTACGCTGCAACCAGTGCGGTCATGGCCATGATCTGAAGGTCGTTCTTATATCTGCGGTGAGCCACTTCTGTCCAAAACGTTACTCACGGCTTAGTTTCTTGCGAGTCGAAAGGGTTGATGTCACTCCCCATGAGCATATAGGTCAAGACTAGATACTTGAGCACCTGGATGCGCTGCGGCGATCCAGATTCATCGTATTGCCTGAACGACTCGAACAGGTCGGTCGATGCCTTGTCCCATGATTCTGCCCCGTCAGCGCCATTAGACCTAAACTCTCACTCTCCATCATCCACATCTTGCCGCCACACTCGCGGATCACGCCCATAATGCGGGGATGTGGGATGGCATTGCGCACTTTCATGGACGCATTATAGATCTCCTGCCCGAGTCAGTTTGATCACAGAAGCTGACATACCTTGAGCTTGCGCGTCTCCTTCAGGTCACTGTACATCTGAATTTCGATAGCGTAGAGCTCGAGTACTATTGTTAGTTAACCAAGTGAGGCCAATAGCGCTTACGCAAAGAACCCTTGGTTTGATCGTCGGCCGAAGAAGTCTCGCTGGGATCGCACACTTCATGAAGAGCCTTCAGAATCTGGTCGTCAGGCGAATCCGCGCAGCTACTCACAGGCTGAAGACGCGCGTACTCTTTGCGATCAAGCCAGAGCTTGGCTAGCTTCAGATTCGACTTGGTCGAAAGGCGCTGCGCGTCAGCCGCGCATATACGAGATGTGCTCGGAAGACGCACCTCGTTTTTGGCCTCTTCGCATGCCACCCGTGTCGCCTCGTAGAACTCCTCAAGGGTATCCAGAGGGATTTTGGGCGAAAGAGCGGCGTGCTACACTGTCAATGCTACCTTCCTCGGCGACCTACTTTGCCTTCCCCAGCAACGTAGTCGAGGATGTTGTTGATCGACTTGTCGGCATAGTTGCGCGTCACACTGTTCTACCTGTCAGACTTGGAAAGTCATGTAGCTTACTTTGGTGTACGTTAGAAGCTCACGGTACGTCTTGAGTGACTCGTGCGGTCGATGGAGGTGCAGAAAGTTCATCTTGGTCATCTGCTTTAGAGCTTTGAACCCCCTACCGTCAGTCTACGCATCTGTCATGCGCACCATTCTCCCTTCTGATCCTGCCCGTCAACAATGGCGCGAAAAGCCTTGAGTGCAGCCTCCGAATCATCGTCCTTCAGTGCTGGTGTCAGTTCGCGCGAGGCTTGCCTGCGTACCTTTGGCTTTGTAGTACAGGTTCTCCTCGTCGCCGCCATCATCTTCCATGCCATCGTCGTCGTCGTCATAGTCAAAGTCGTATTCCTGCTATTAGATGATGGAAGGTGAATAACTCACTTCATCGTCCGCGGCATCCTAAGTGTCAGCAGGGAAGGGGTGGTTGACTCACCTCCATCATAAACTCGTCATCAGACATGGCGGCTCGCTACACAGCTCAATAGCTCTGGAGAAGGGACGGTGTATAGGGTGGAGCAAGAACTACCAGTCTGGTTGGGAGATGCTTGCTGCGAGCGAGCAAAGACGAGAAAAGGGCAGGTGTGAGATGTGCGATGGCAATATGGACGGCGAGCAATGGAACAGCAGGTGGACACCGGGTGCGAGTGCATCATAACGGCAGCATGATCGCATGAGCGAGCATGAGCGACGCGCGGTATGACGATGCACGTGGCGAGATTAGATGCCGCATTGCATGCAGGGTGAGGCTGGGGGTTGGATGACCCAATCGACATTGGCTCCTCACCCAACAGCCCACCCACCAGCGTACAGAGAGTAGTAGTAGGAGGAGTCATTCTCCCCCGGAGCCGTCTCACCGCACCACATGATCAACTCACCCCGCCTCCATTGACATCTCTTCCTCGCTCTCAACAACCTCCTCCTCTCTTGTCATCCTCAACACAAAGTTCGTCTCCCATCCACTCTTGCATTCATCCATCCATTCCCCTCTCTCCCCCCTCACCCGGCATCAATGGTCTTTCTCCATTGAACGCGCCGCCATCCATCCCCCCTCCCCCCGCCCCAGATCGACACATCCAGACCGACACCAACATCGCCTCGAGTAAACACAAGCAATGGCCGCTCAGCCCCCTTCTCTGCCTTACATCAGGGATGAAGCCTCCACTTCTCAACAAGTCTCGTACCCCTCCTATCCACATGACGAGTATGTCCACGACCTCGAGATGGATGGCGAGCTTGAGGAGGACGACACTGAGAACGCCTCGTTGTTCCAGTTCTGGACTGCCAAACGGCACATGACCCGTAAAGGCAAGAATAAGGCAACCGAAGAGGCCGCCTTGCCATGGCGGCTTCGCTCCAGGCTGAAGACGGTCAACGCTGGCCTCTTCTTGTGTCTCAACATTGGTGTCGACCCACCAGACATTGTCAAGACCAACCCCTGCGCCAAGACAGAGTGCTGGGTTGATCCCTCGACCTTGCCATCAACAAAGGCCATTGAGGCTATCGGGAGGAGTGAGTTTGATTTGCCACCAAGCACTGACCAATTCAAGACCTCCAACAGCAATTCGAGACACTCAATCCCAAAGTTCGCTTCAAAGTCGTAAGTGCTAGCATGTTGCCCCGCGGCCGACGCTGACAGACAGTGTTTAGACCCCTCCATAGAGGAGACCAAAAAGGTGTGCACCAACCTGAGGAAGAACTCGAGGGATGAGCGCTCTCTATTCTACTACAATGGCCACGGCGTGCCAAAGCCAACGAACGGCGGCGAGATCTGGGTGTTCAACAAGAGTGAGCCGAACGCCCGCGACACACGAGGACAACACACTGATGCCAGGTTACACACAGTACATTCCAGTAAGCCTGGTAGACCTACAAGAGTGGCTTGGAAGGTAAGTGCTCTCGATCGATCACGGCTGAGGTCTAACGCGCAGCCCTTGCATCTACGTATGGGAGTGCTCAGGAGCCGGCAGCATCATCACAAACTTCAAGACGACGGCGCGGCGGCGAGATGAGGAAATGCGACAAGCGAACGCGGCCTCGGGTGCTAGCGATCAGCCCGGCGCCTCGTTCATGGACTCGATCCACCTTGCACCCTGCGCAGCGAACCAAGTCCTTCCCATGTCGCCTGACTTGCCCGCTGACCTCTTCACCTGTTGTTTGACATCTCCAATCGAGACTGCTTTACGCTTCTTCGTCCAGCAAGATCCGCTGAAGCGCAACATCGCCAGCACACCGGACAACCCGCGCAGCCGTCTCACTGTTGACATGGTCATGAAGATCCCTGGCGATCTTAAGGACCGCCGCACGCCCTTAGGTGAACTCCAGTGGATCTTTACGGCCGTGACCGACACCATCGCATGGCTCTCCTTTCCGCGCGAGGTTTTCATGAGGCTGTTCCGCCAAGACCTCCTCGTCGCAGCGCTTTTCCGCAACTATCTGTTGGCGCAACGCATCATGACGACCTACCATTGCACACCCGCGTCTCATCCAGAATTGCCGTCAACGCACAACCACCCGCTTTGGGACTCATGGGACCTCGCTGTCGATGGTTGTCTCGCACAGCTGCCGGAGCTGCTTGACCTTCAGGCCGCCGCAGAAGCAGCCGGTTCAACGACCCCTCCACTGAGTACATACAAGCCATCGCTGTTCTTCGCCCAGCATCTACAGGCCTTTGAGGTTTGGCTCCAGCATGGCGGTGGAGAGACCAAAAGCAAACTCGCCGGCAAGCAGCCTAGAAAGGAGCCTGAACAGCTTCCTATCGTACTGCAAGTGCTGCTCTCGCAGGCACACCGCTTGCGAGCCCTTATATTATTGTCGCAGTTTGTCGACCTTGGACCTTGGGCTGTCAACATGGCGCTGTCGATCGGCATCTTCCCATACGTGCAGAAGTTGTTGCAGTCGCCAGCTGCCGAGCTCAAGCCCGTCCTTATATTCATCTGGGCCCGGATACTTGCCGTCGACAAGTCTTGCCAGATGGACCTGCTGAAAGAGAACGGCTACAACTACTTCGCTCAAATCCTCGCGCCGTATCCAGTTTCAGGACAGCCGCTTGTGATCCCCAACGCCAATGAGCACAGAGCCATGTGCGCTTTCATTCTCGCCATGCTCTGTCGCAACTTCCGCGCCGGCCAGCAGGCTTGTCTTACGTACAATGTCTTCGATCACTCTCTCACTCGCCTCCAAGAGAACGACTGGCTGTTGCGAACGTGGTGCCTGCTCTGCATCGCGCAGATGTGGGCAGACAATGACGAGGGCAAGGCGATGTGCATGGACCAGGGACGGCAGGAGCTGCTCATGGCAGCCCTGCGCAACACATCCGTCGAAGTGCGCGCCGCTGCGCTCTACGCTTTTGGGACGTTCCTCGGCGCATCAAGCGGGCCAATCGACGCACCGGAGTTCAAAGGCGGTGGCGGAATGGGCGCTCAGTTGGGCATCAAGGAGCACCAACAGCTTGAGGTTGAGGCCGGCTTGGCGTATGCGTGTATGATGACTGTTAAGGAAGACGCCAGCCCGATGGTCCGTAAGGAGCTGGTTGTCGTCATTTCTTGCGTTGTCCGCGAGTGGCGCGGATGGTTCGTCGCAGCCGCCTGGTGCTATTACGAGCAGGAGGCGGCATTGGCCGGTTCCAATGCTGGGTCCGAGGACGACTCGGACATTGTCTCGGAGGCCCTCGCCGCATGGGTTGCGTCTGATGAGGTTGCTCCCGAGCAACACCAGGTCAATCTTACCTTGCTGAGTTCGTTTAAGACACTCTTTGAGACCTTGCTTGATCTTTCTGTCGACCCCCACGCCGAGGTCGCCGGCATGGCCTCGACTGTCGTTGACTACGTCGTAGCTTTGCTGCTGAGCTCGGCATTCAACCGCGTCCCCGGCACATCTCTCAATGGTCTGAACCGACCAAAGGTTGGTGCGCGATTTACCCAGAACTCTGTGGTCCAAGAGGTTCCTCAAACCCCGACACGGCAAGTCGCGCGCTCCAACACAGTGTCTACCGCCAGTTCACCAAGCTCAGGAACCCTTAAGCGGAACTCTTCGGTAGCCACCGCCCTGCGCAGCCTCGCCTCCATGACGGGTTTCATTCAACCCGAGACTTCGGAGCCTGCACCAGCACCCGCCGAGCCCGTCACTCGTACAGACGTCGAGTCTCAGCAGAACGGAGCGCAGTTCTATAAGTCGCCCTACCCAGACGCAAGCCACCAGCGCGTCTTGCCCGAGGGTGTGGGCGGTGGGCGAGGCATGTTGGGTGCTAGTGTCCACCATTCTCTCGACCCGACGCCTGTACAGGCAGTTGCCGTGCTCGAGGCGCTGGTGGAGGAGGACATGGAACGTCTGCGTCAGCGGCGACTCCGAGGAACTCAGGCTGGCGGCGATGCAGACGGCCGCTTCTCGAATAACGGCCTGGCGCGCCCCAACGATCTGGGCATCGGCATGGTTGCTGCCGAGGTCAAGGACGATATAGTGCCGCTTCGCAGTGGCTTCTTCGATTGGGCGGTCGAGTACTTCCGCGAGCCGCAGATGAAGGCACCCGACAACGAGGAGCCTGGCAGTGTGACGTACAATCAGCAGGCATGGCGGCATCTCCGCAACGAGAGTCAAATCGAGCGATCGCGGATGAACGAGGACTATGCCGCGCGGCACAGATGGGACCATGAAGTGGGGACGTTGCAAAACGACGCTTGGCCATTGCAGCTCGCATTCCATGCCCACGACTCACACTTGGCCGTCACAGACGACGAGGACAAGATCTGGTGAGCTTGAACCCATGTCGCTTGACTAACAACAGCATTTGGGATTGGTCCACTCGCTCGAAGCTGAATCGTTTCAGCAACCAAAACATGGCCGGCAGTTCCATCTCGAGCCTCCACTTCATCAACGAGACGGCGACGAGTCTTTTGCTCACAGCGTCGACGGAGGGCTCGATCCGCATCTGGCGCGACTATGAGATTCCCGGTGAGACGAGCCTGGCATCCGCGTTTAGGGCAGTGAGCGACATCTTCCCAGTCGGTCACCACTCAGGTGTCCTCACCGCGTGGGAGCAGCAGAAGGGTCACCTGCTTGTCGGCGGAGACATGCGCGTAGTGCGGCTATGGGATGCTACGTACGAGCGCCACTTGCGCGACATCTCGACTCAGGCCGGCGCGAACTTGACAGCCATTGCTGCAGACGAGCCGGACGGCAATGTGTTTGTGGCAGGCTTCGGCGACGGCGTGGTGCGCCTCTTCGACAAGCGGCTGGAAGACGCGAGCCAAGTCGTTCTCCGGACATGGCGCAAGCACCACACCTGGATCCAGAGCGTACACCTCCAACGGGGGGGACATCGAGAGCTGGTGACTGGATCCATGGACGGCGATGTGCGAATCTGGGACGTACGTGCCCCCGATGCGCCATTGTACGAGCACAGCGTGCAGCCGCAAGGTCTGCAGGCGCTGGCGGTGCACTCTGGTGCGCCCGTCCTCGCCACTACGTCGGCACCAACAGGCAGCAGCCTAAGGCAGAAGCTCATCGTGCAAGGCTTCGCCAACCCCGAAAGACCCAAGACGCTCAGTCGCATCGACATTGCTCTCGCACCAAACTACGGCGGGCCCTCGCGTGCGGGATTCATGCCGAGCGCTGCCAGTCTGGTCTTCCACCCTACCGAGATGCTCCTCGCCGCCGGAGGCTACGACTCGAGCGGAAATGTTAAGCTGTACAAGTGCCGCACGCCCACTGGGCCAATGTACGACACTAGCGTCACCACGACACGCAACGGGTTCCTCGAGCACTAAGGGAATCTGGGTACATAGACATGTTAGTTGTAAAAGGCTTTACCCGCAGCCATGCATTGGTTGTAGGATATGTGTGTAGCATTCAGTGACAGGCGGATGACTGATCGCCGACCATACAACGGGACCGCTCTTCGCCATGCACGCGCACTCTATCATCTTCTATGCATACCCCACAAACTACTTGCAAACGTCCGAGAGCTGGGCGGCAATGCCCTGTGGGAAGCGGAACGCCGTGAGGGTGGAGCCGAAGCGCTCCGCGATACGCCGGATGCCGTTCTCGGCGATTGCGGCAACAGCGGCGCAATCGGCCTTGGCGGCCTCAGCAGCCGAGGACGACACCTTCGGCGCCATGCCGGCCAAGTCGGCGCTCAGAGCCAGCGCGGCGCCGCGCACGCGCACAAGCGCCTCGAGCGTACTGGGCAGCACGGCTTGGACGTAGCCATACTCGTCCTCGTCGTACGCCGCGACGCTGAGCGTGGCGAGGATGTCGACGATGCGCTTGAGGCGGTCAGGTTCGGGCACGGCGGCAGCGACAGCGCGGCGCGACCACTCGGCGCCGGCCCAGACGCCGAGGCCGCCACGCGCAAGCTTGGCGGCCGCGACGAGGGGGCCGAGGAACGGCGTGCCGCCCAGCCACTTTTCGAGGGCCGACGCGTTCTCGACCTTCTTCACGACGGCGAGCTCGGCGGCGTGCGCCTTGTCCAGCACCGCGAGGACGGGCGCGGGCGTCGGCGCCGGCTTTCCCTCGAGCACGCTTGTGACGAGGCCCTGCAGCGGCCCGGGCTTGGGCGCGGGGCGGAAGATGTCGCCCGTCTTGACGGCAATCGAGCGCTCGTCGCGCACGGGCACGGGAGACGCGGCCGATGCGCTGGACGGCTGGCGGCCCTTGGCTGCCAGCGTCTTGTACGAGTCGCCGAGGACCAGAAGGAGGCCGCGGAAGACCTCATGCACGAGCGCAGGGCGGGACGTGTCCGCGAATATCTCCTTCCTCCGCTTCGAGTGGACGACGCGCTGCAGCTCCACGACAGTGTGGTCAACGTAGAACGGGTTGGTGCTGCCGAGAGCTATGAGGAGGTACTTGTCCGCCGAGAGGGGGCTTCTGCGAGTGAAGCTCGCGAACGGGAGCGGCTGACAAAGATACTCGTTGATCACGGCAAGCGCTGGCTTCAACGCGAACATCCCTGTCAGCTGCAGAACGAGGAGGTAGTATGCCAGTCCCCAAGACATCGAGCCCCTCTTGGCGAAGTTGATTGCGAAGGGGCGCAGGAAGGGGAGGTACGTCACAGCCGCGCGCCACACAGAGCGGCGAAGGGCGAAGTAGAGCACGGTATAGACGGCCGTGAACTGGGCTGCGTTGGCAGCTTCAGCGTAAAATGATGTGGGGCAGAGGGTAAAGAGCTGCGCCAGGGCGTGCTGGACTACGACCGGGAACGGGGCCTGGTGTCAGCAGTGAGAGAGGAGGGATGATGTGCATGTGAAGCGCTTACTTACCTTCTTCTGAGGCCACTTGGGCCCAACATTGCACACGAGCACATCTCTAAGTGCCATCGTCGTCATGAACACGGTGTTGCCCAGCACCAAGAACCAGATGCGCTCGTTCCAGTGCCATGGGTAGCGGGTGGTAGCTGCACTGCTCCATCCCAGCCCAGAGGCGGGGTTGTAATGATTCTGTGCGCCAGTAAAAGCGAGAGCCAGGACGAGCGCCGCGAAGGCATGGGCAGCCAGGAAATTCAGCACCCGTGGTGTGAACGTGCCAAACCACAGGCCAACGGGGGAGGGCGAGGCGGGGATGAGCGGTGGCGCCTCGATCCATGTCCGCCGAGCGCGAAGGATAACGTGCACCGAGAGGAGATAGAGTGGGGGTGTGAGAATGAGGGAGAGGACGGTGGTAAGCAGAGATGGACGCCAGCCTGCTGTCAGCGGGTGGGGTATAACAACAATGGGGACGCACCTAACAACACTGCTGGAACTATGAGAAACGCCACTGCGGTGACTACGTATGCACGAATCACCAGCTCCTGCCAGCGGAACGCAATCGCTTTCTGGTGTTAGTTCGATCGACATGGTCGAGGCTGGCTGGATGACATACTCTGTAGTGGGCGTCGATGCGCACCAATGCCTGCTGTTAGCTGGACATTGCATGGGACTGCTGATTCAGTGGACTCACCGGAACAGGCGCCCTGGAGGGCGCGGGCTGCAGCTTTGTCGACATCCCGCAGCAGTGGGAGAGATGTTTAGAGCTGTCTAAGATGAGAGATGGAGGGTGCGAGCCAAAGTTGGTAGGTTGTGCTTGTTGTGGATGCGGAAGTATTTGGTCGGTGGAGGTTGTCCATGCCTACATGTTCGCTTCACAGATCACAGACAGCTCACTCCACTCACACGAATCACGCTACTCACTCCGCTCGGTCCGCTACTATTCTGCATCACTCTATGATTCCTACACTATCGGCCCACCCGGTCGATACTCCCGCTCGGTCGATTGAGAGACTGGCAACCCGTTGCAATTAGTGCTTCGACGCAATGGCGGTGTCAAAGTCGATCGCCTTGTCAACGGGCGAGTAAATCTTGTCACCACGCTGCTTGTAGAACGAGACGACCTTCTCGGCGCGCGAGGCGATGCCGTTGGGGGTAATCTCGAACTTCTCGTAGACCTTGAGGTAGGGGCCCGACGCACCCCAGGCTCTAAGGCCAAAGGTCTCGTGCGCGTACTCGTGCCAGCCAAAGGTCGAGTAAGCCTCAACGGACATGATAGGCGCGCCGTGAGGGAGCACCGAGAGACGGTACTCCTTCGACTGCTGGTTGAAGACCTCGAAGCAGGGGATTGAAGAAACGCGGACCTTGAGACCCTTCTCGCGGAGCTGCTTGGCGGCGTCGACGACAATGGGAACCTCCGAGCCGGTCGAGATGAGGGTGATGTCGGCGTCCTTGGCCTCCTCCAGAACGTAGCCACCCTTCGAGGCCTTCTCAATCGACGAGCCCTCAAGCTGGGGCAGGTTCTGGCGGGAGAGGGCGAGGGTCGAGGGGGTCTTGGGCGAGGTGAGGGCGATGGCGTAGGCGGCCGAGGTCTCGTTGCCGTCGGCGGGGCGCCAGAACATCATGTTCGGGGTAGCGCGGAGCCAGGCAGCGGTCTCAACCGGCTGGTGGGTCGGGCCGTCCTCACCGAGACCGATCGAGTCGTGGGTAGCGATGTTGAGAACACGAAGGTTCGAGAGCGCCGAGAGACGGACGGCTCCGGCAGCGTACGAGACGAAGTTAAGGAAGGTGGCGCCGAAGGGAATAAGACCACCGTAGGCAGCGATACCGTTGACAATGGCGGTCATGCCGTGCTCACGGACACCAAAGCGGAAGTAGCGGCCCGAGTAGTCGCCGAGGCCAGACGAGGGAGGCTGGAAGTCAACAGCGCCCTTCCAGCGAGTCAGGTTGGAGCCGGTAAGGTCGGCCGAGCCACCAACAAGCTCGGGGATGATAGGGGCGACGGCGTTGAGAACGTTCTCCGACAGCTTGCGCGAGGCGACGGCGGCGTCTCCGGGCTTGAAGGTGGGGAGAGCCTTCTCCCAGCCCTCAGGAAGGCGGCCCTCGAAGCGGCGAACAATCTCGGAGTGCTCCTTGGGGTACTTGCCCTTGTACTCCTCAAGAGTCTTCTTCCACTCGGCTTCCTTCTTGGCACCGGCGTCACCGGCCTTGTGGTAGATGTCGTAGACCTCCTCAGGAACGACAAAGGTCTTCTCGGGGTCAAAGCCGAAGCGGGTCTTGAGCTGCTTGATGTCATCGGCCTTAAGGGGAGAGCCGTGGACGTCGTGGCCACCCTCCTTGAGCGAGCCGTAACCGATGGTGGTGCGGAGGACAATGAGGGTAGGCTTCGAGTTGTTGTCACGGGCCTCGGCAATGGCGCCAGCGATAGCGGTGAGGTCAGAGTCACCAGAGGTGACGTGAAGGACCTCCCAGCCGTACGCGCGGTAACGAGCCTCGACGTCCTCAGTGAAGGAAACGTCGGTGTTGCCGTCAATGGTAATCTTGTTGTCATCGTAGATGGCGATCAGGTTGCCGAGCTGAAGGTGGCCAGCAAGCGACGAGGCCTCCGAGGAAACACCCTCCTGGAGGCATCCGTCACCGAGGAAGGCGTAAGTCTTGTTGGTGAACAGGTTGTAGCCGTCCTTGTTGAAGGTGGCGCCCATGTGAGCCTGTGCGATGGCGAGACCAACGGCGTTCGAGATACCTGGCGGTCAGTCACCGATCACCGACTCGAGCCGCTCGCCCCAATCTCCCCCGCACAACTCACCCTGGCCAAGAGGGCCGGTGGTGACCTCGATACCGTCGGTGTGGTCGTTCTCGGGGTGGCCGGGGGTGAGGGAGTCAATCTGGCGGAAGTTCTTCAGGTCGTCCATCGAGAGCTTGTAGCCCGCGAGGTGGAGGAGGATGTACTGGAGCGCACAGCTGAAGCAAGGTCAGCAACTGACTCGGCCGGTGGAGGTCCCTTGAAAAAAAAACAGTGACGCTTTGACTCACGCGTGGCCGTTCGAAAGAATGAAGCGGTCGCGGTTGAACCACTTCGAGTCCTTGGGGTTGAAGTTGAGGAACTTGCTGAAGAGGACGTGGGCAACGGGAGCCATGCCCTGGGGAAGTTAGCAATTGGTCCGGGGAGCTGTGAGAGGGGAGGGGCTGCTCACCATGGGGGCACCAGGGTGACCGGAGTTGGCCTGCTGTTAGCAACGTGCGGGATGGACCTTGTGGACAAACCTTGGCGACGACATCAGCGGCGAGAGTGCGGATGGTGCTGCGGGTTAGCTAGTGTCGGTTATGGCGGGAGGGAAGACTCTTTAAAGAGTAAGTACGCACTTGACCGCGAGCTGGTCAGCGTCGGTGAACTGGACACCCTTCAGCGAAGCCATATCTAGTGTGAGTGAGGATGAGCGAGGGAGGAGGAGGGATGAGGGGATGAGAGCGTACTTGATGATTTTGGTGGAAGGTGAGGTGAAGCGAGAGATGGAGAAGAGAGAATGGAGAGAAGAGAAAGGATGATGGAGGCGGGGACTCTTTGAGGGGTGACGAGTGGGGTGGGATTTGGTTCATCCAGGCCCGACAACGTGCTCTCCATCCCACGCTCCCAGGCGCCCAGGCCAGCTGGCTCTTACGTCTGGGGTCGGTCAGTCAGCGATAATCCTATTCCCTCAGGGTCCCCTCTCTAATGACGTTCAAATCGGATATCTCGTCTCCGCCCCCCAGTGCCCCGCCCCGGTCTGTCGGACCGAAGGCGCAAGAGAGATACACAGATCAAGGCCGCGCTCACCCCACGCCCCCACCCTCATCTCACATCATCGGTGACGTCCGCCTTGCCGTCTATCACCACAAGCTGTCATCCTCTTCCATTCCCCGTGGCCCCCTACGCCCTCGCCCCATCCCGCCTCAAGATCGCTCGGTTCGGCTTGTTGTCCACCACGCCCTCTGGATCTCTGATCTCTGACAAGCTGGTAATGTGTTCTGGCCGCTTCAGCCTCATCATGTTTCGGGGAAAGCACAAGAGAGGGCTTCAGTCATCTGTGGAACGTGACCACTGCGGCCGACCAAGTATTCGAGCGGACACCGAGCCCCGATGTGTGGCCTATCTCATCTCGCAAACCTCGCAGCCCCTGCGTTTCTGCATTCGCCACTCCGCATCATCTTGACACTCGGCCACTGGCCACTGGGGGGTGCTGTAAATCCGGTCTCGCCTTTCCCCGTACTGTACCCTGCATGCAGCAGTACTTCCCGCCGGTCTGGCTCTCCGCTGCGTATCCGCCGCGATCCCGCCGCGAAATCACCGCCTGTGCTTGTCCGCAGGCACTGAAACTTCTGGCGTTGGTCGCCACTGTTCCTTCGCACGCGTCGCACGGTCGCGCCATGTTCGCAATTTCCAGAAGTGACGGCCCACGGAAGCGTCTCAGCCATGGGAGTCACTCTGCGGCGAAAGGAGAAGAGATCGCCTGACGTCGATGCTCTCGCACGCTCGCACGCCCGCACGCTCGCACGCTCGCACGCCCGTTCTCCCGGGCACGCACGTCCGCGACGCCCATCCACCCACACTTTGGCACACTTACTGCCATGGCAATTCCGCACCTTCCGATGCTAGATGCGAGAACACGCACGTCGGACGGAGGAACGTCCGCTTTCCGGGCCGGATTCCGGAGCGGCATTTACCCCTCTCACGTGGTAGCCATGCATTTACCACGAGGCAGCCTCCACCTTTCACTGAACCACCAACAGAACGAAGAACAATCTCGCCGCACCTGACTCTTAATCCATCATGGGCCGGTCACGTACGCCCCGCTCCCCTCTGATCGCTAACTGCAGATGCGAAGAACACGACGACCCAAGCCAACCTCTCGTACTACGAGCGACTGAAGCTCAAGCAAGGGACTGCAGCGCGGCGCCTCGGCCAAGAATCCTTCAAGCCGCTCGACGCGTGCAACCTCTGCCTCTCGCGGGCGACGGACCCCGTCGCATGCGGCGAGGCGCACATCTTCTGCCGGGAGTGCGTGATCGCCGACCTGATCGGACAGAAGGCGGGGATCGAGACGCAGAAAGCCCAGTTGCGCGCATGGGAGGAGGACGACGCGCGGCGGCGCCAGGCCGCGCGGGACGCGGCGCGCGCGCGCGTCGTGGCTGATTTTGAGCGCGGTATGGGGCTTGCTGGCGGGCGCGGCTCTAAGCCCTCCTCTAGCTCGTCCACCCCGGTCGGAGCGGGGAGTAATTTCAAGCTCGATGAGGACGCCATTGAAGCCGCGGCGGGAGAAGCGGAGGAGCGAGCGAACGCCGCCATCGAGGCTGAGGCGAGCGATATGCGCAAGGCCAAGATTGCCGCGTTCTGGATCCCCGCCAACACGCCCAGTGCCCCCCTGGGCCCGCTCAAGGCCGTCAAGCTCCAGACGCTCTGCCATGTCGGCGGGACGGGGAAGGCGCACCCGATCTCGCTCAAGGGCCTGCTGCCCGTCGTGCTCAAGTACCCGCCGGGCAAGGACAAGGGCGGCCAGCCGACGTGCCCTTCCTGCCAGCGCGACTTGAGTAATGCGAGCGGCGCGATGCTCCTAACTTCGCGGGAGCCGGCGGGCGGAGAAGATAGGACAGTGGAGGAGAATGGTGGCCCACGGAAGAAGGCCAAGAAGGAAAAAAAGGAGAAGCTTCCGCCAGCGGTGTGCGGACACGTCGTATGCAAGACGTGCGCGGATACCGTCGTCAAGCCTGCGGGACGATGCTGCGTGTGCGAGGCCAAGGTTGAGCCGGGGGGTATGCTGCCGCTGGGGTCTGAGGGTGGGTTTGCATGTCTTGGGCAGCAACTGACGACAGGGACAGGGTATGCTGCATCAGGTGGGGCGGAGGTCAAGACCAGCAGTGCCGTCGTCTTCCGTGTGTAGAGAATGTATCTATTAGCATTGGGCTGGGGCGCGCATGTGGCGGTAGTATGCGAGGACACGGGAGGTCAACTTTATTAGGACAAGGCGAGGATAACTCATCGTGATATAGACAAGGTAGTCAGTTATGGTGCTCCAAGAAAGACGAATTAACAGTTATGCCTTGAACTTGTGCTACAAATGCTATGAGAACAGGGAACTAGTGCTCCAGATGTCGTGAATCGAATAATGATGCGTGGAGGAGCTCGCCGGTCAACTCCTTCCGGCGAGGATCGTACTCAAATCGCCTAGAAAGGGAGCATGCGCACTTCGTCGAGGGTAACGCCCGCCGCCCTCAAGCTCTCGGGCTCGAGGTCGCGCACCTCCTGGTCGAGATGGTCGTACAGCGGCTTCCTGAACGAGTCCATGACTGCGCGGAACTCGCGTGCATTATACGAAGCGGGGTCGCGCGACGCCTTGTCAAGGTACGCGTTGTAGCGCTCGAGGCCGTCGTGGATGATGCGGTGGCTCTGCACGTGGTCCGAGGACGGGCGGAAGGACGGGTGCTTGTGCAGGTATGGGAAGATGTGGGCCTCTTCGATGCGGTGGTGTGCGTCGAGGGAGCGGGCGACGCCGCGCGCGCGCTGCAGGAACGCCGGGAGCGTCATGCCGTGCATGTGGAAGGAACCGTCGGCGAGCGCGTAGTTGGTCTCGAAGGCGTGTTTGAACGACGCGTGGAAGGCGGCCATGCCGCGGGAAGGCGCGAGCCATTGGTGCTCGAGGCGGGCGGCGGCGGCGGCGGAGGCGGCAGCAGACTTGGGGATGGTCGTCATTGTGTGGGTTGGTGGTGTGGTTTGGGGTTTTGGTCTGAGTTGGGGTTCTCGGTGGTCAGAGAGTTAGTGCAGAAGAAGAAGCAGATGCTCGTTATTTATATGTCTCGGAGGGACGGCGGCGACGCGCGGAGTAGACGCTGGTGTCGTCCATCGTTGCGAGGAGATGTGATGAGCAGCGAGCGCTGAGCAATCGCGGAGCTCGGTCTTGTACTCGGTGATGACCACGGAGGAGTGGTCGTAAAGTGATTGGGCGTGGCTGCAACTCATCTCTTTATGGCTCGAGGGGAGGCTGAGTCATAGTCCTCTCGTCATCGTATCTGCTGTCATCCAGTCGCACCGGAATATTCTCGGATCTGCCCCACGTGCCTGATCCTCCTCTCATCCATCGCAAGTGGCATATTCTGATGGGTGCCACTTCACAAGCATACTTAACATGCATCGGCCTCTATACGGCCCACTCTCCATACACGATCCGCCCGTCAATGATCGTAGCCCCCACCTTGGTAGCGAGCATCTCGTCCTCGTCGACCTCCATGAGATCATCGTCCCACAGCACCGCGTCGAAGCGGAAGCCCTTGGTGAGACTGCCAGTGTCGTTCGAGAACGAAGCATAGGCCGCGTCCGCCGTGAAGCCGCGCAGCGCCTCCACGCGCGTCAGCTTCTCGTTGGCGTACCATCCTCCGGGCCCGTGCGGCGATGTCCCGTCCTCCGCTCGCCGCGTCACCGCTGCGTAGAACCCCTTGAGCGGATCAGGAGACTCGACTGGGAAATCAGAGCCAAGCGCGATGCGTCCGCCTGCGTTGAGATACGAGCGCCATGCGTATGCGCCTTTGATGCGCTCAGGGCCGAGGCGTGCTTCAGCGTACCACATCTGGTGTCAGCGGTCGTCATAATGCGAGTGCTCAGATCAATCCATTACGGGCAGCCAAGGCGGTTTCACGCCCGAAATGTCGTTTGGCTCCACTACTCACATCACTTGTAGCGTGGGTTGGCTGGTAGCTCCCAATCACGCCCAGATCCGCTGCACGTTTGATGTCATCCATTGTGAAGATCTGCGCATGCTCGATGCGCAGGCGGCGCGCACGTCCGGCCTCCTTGTCTGTCCCAATGGCGGCCTCGATCGCGTCGAGCACGACGTGGTTGGCCTTGTCGCCAATGCAGTGGACATTGACTTGCCAGCCCTGCCGTCAGCTCCATGTCTCACTTTGCATGACCGCATGCCGCTATATCCCAGCTACTCGCCGCATGTCGCTCAGCTCACGTCTGCTCACCTCGTCATAGTACTGCTTGATGAGCGGTGCCCACACGTGGTCTTGCGTGAGGAGGAACCCCTTCCACCCAGGCGCGTCCGCGTAGTCCTCGAGCAGCGCCGCGCCGCGAGAGCCCAGCGCACCGTCCCCAAACAGCTTGACGGACTGGAGCGTCCACCGGCCGTCCTGGAGGCCCGTAACCCGCTCCACCTGGTCACCACAGTACACGTCACGGGGCTCGGGACACAGGAGCATGGTGTAGAAGCGGAGGCGGAGCTTGCCCTCCTCCGCCATGCGGCGGAAGAACGCAAGGTCCTCCGGCACGAGGCCGGCGTCGTGGATGCCAGTCAGGCCAAGAGACAGGGCATCGCGCATCGCGACGTTGAGGTTCTCCTCGCGAACCTCGTCCGTCATCGGCGGCATGACCTTGCCAACGTACTCGCGGATCGCGTTGTCCAAGAAGACTCCGGTAGGCTTTCCGTCGGCGTCGCGGATGACCTGGCCACCCTCGATGTCCTCCACCGGGATCGGTCCCAACTTCTCCTCGATGGCGTCGAGCACAGCTGGCGAGACCCACACCGCGTGGATGTCGGTGCGGTACAGCACGATGCTGAGGCCCTTCAGCACCGGGGTATCCAGGTCCGCGGCGGTCGCGTACTTCTTGTCAGGCCACAGCTCCTGGTCCCAAGCCTGGCCGATGACCCAGCCGTGCGTCTTGCGCGACTTGACGTACGCCTCGGTGCGCGCGACAACCTCCTCGATCGTCTTGGACCCAAGCAGCTGGAGATGCCGGCTCGCGCCGTACTCGAGCGGATGGGCGTGCGCGTCAGTGAAGCCCGGGGTGAGCGAGTGACCGGGCGGCAGGTAAAGGATGCGGATGCCTGATGTCTTGCGAACAGCGTCAGGCGCCGACTTGGGCACCGGGACCTTGGCGCCTTTTTCGCCATACGTGCGCCTCACAGCCTGCAGGCTGCCCGTGTCGACGACGTGCTTGCCTGCGACGACGAGGCACTGCACGGCGCCAGCCCCGCCCTCCACGGGGACGGTGTACACCTTCTTGCCCTCGCGCGAGCACACAGCGTACCACTCCGGAAGGGGTTTGGAACCGCCGTCCACCGTCCATGGCGCCTTGGACTTGGTGAGGCCGTTGCGCTGCGCGTAGAGCACCAGGAAGGCCAGGAGGACGAGGCTGATCGCCCAGTGGGCCTGGCGCGTCGGGCGCTTGGGCGGGCGCGCGGCGCGCTCGTACTTTGGTACGGCGGCGGCGGCCGCTGGAGGAGCAGTCTTGCGCTGCCGGACCTCAGACATGATGGATGCAGTTGCGCTGTTGGAGGTGGGCAGCAGGTGCAGACTATTAGTTCTGGAATATATGGACAGGCGCGTCGGATCATGCCACACTTCGCCGCCGATATCAGCGTCATGACACGTGATGTGCCTTCCCACGGTCACCTTCCCTCAGAGTGAATTGCACCCGCCGGCTAGCTCATCGCCCAACGACAACGGCGCACCACAACACCATCTCTTCTCACGTTCTCAACATCACCAATTACCACAACATGTCCGACTTTGACCACGACCTGTACGGCGACCTCGACCTCGAGGACCTTGACGCGACGCAGCTCGACGAGGAGCTCGTCGACCCTGACACGCTGGATGCTCCGGAGCCTGCGCCGCCGGTGCCCACTACGAGCGTGGGCGGTGTGAGCGACGCCGCACCCGCATTTGACGCGCACGCGGCAGCTCGCCCCGTTCCTCAAGGCTTTGACAGGATGAAGCCGAGCGATATGCCGGACGAGGGGTTAGTTTGTTCTCCGTTTCTCCATCTATTTTCCAGTCGTGTAGAGCGCTAGGGCGCACGTAGGTTCCACAGAGATCTGAGAGCGTAGGGGCTGCACAGCAGCCTACAGAATAGAGGGTCCTCGACCCCCATAGAGGTAGAGAGCTGATTGCGCGGTGGGATAGTACACCGCGCTCGGCAGGTGTGATAGACTCTATACCCCATACCGACCATATACTGATACTACTCTTTCCATGCACGCGCGTGCCGCCACCCCTTCGCATCCCCGTCCTCGTCACCTCTGACTTGACACATACAGCAAGATGTTCATCGGCGGCCTGAACTGGGAGACGACAGATGGTAAGACGGGACGGACGCACCACTGACGTGCCAGAGGGACTGCGCGCATACTTTATCCAGTTTGGCGAGATTGAGCAGTGCACGATCATGCGCGACCCGACGGGCCGCTCGCGCGGCTTTGCCTTCCTGACCTTCCGCGACCCGGCGAGCGTCACCAAGGTGCTGGAGCAGAACCACCAGCTCGACGGCAAGATGGTAAGCGTGCGCTCTGACCCCGCTGACGCAGATCGACCCGAAGCGCGCGATCCCGCGCGCCGAGCACGAGCGCACGGCCAAGGTGTTCGTGGGCGGCCTCGCGGCCTCGGTGACGAGCGACAGCTTGAAGCAGTTCCTCGGCCGCTTCGGCAAGGTGATGGATGCGACGGTCATGTTTGACCGCTTGAACGGGCGGTCGAAGGGCTTCGCGTTCGCGACGTTTGCAGACGAGTCGGGCGTCGACAATGCGATGCAGCACAGCGGCATCGAGCTCGAGGGGCGCGCGATCGAGATCAAGAAGGCCCAGCCCCGCGGCGCCGGTACCCAGGTCAAGAGCTTCAATGCGCCGGGCGGCGCACGCACCACCGGCTTCAACCCCACCAGCAACATGAGCTTTGGGATGGGCTTCGACCCCGGCGCCATGGCGATGATGTACAACAACATGGCCAAGGGCCAGATGGGCGGCGGCTTCGACCCGAATGCCATGGCGATGATGTACACCAACATGATGAAGAGTGAGCCAGAGGGAGGACGCAGCTGACGTTAGATATGGGCATGAACGGTGGCGCGCCGGCCATCAACCCCAACATGGCGCGCGGGATGGGCGGCATGGCCGGCGGCGGCATGGGCATGGGTAACATGATGGGCGGGATGGGCATGATGGGCGGCATGGGTGAGTATGTGGTGGACGAGCTGACGGCAGGCGGCATGGGCATGGGTATGGGCGGCATAGGCATGGGTGGGATGGGTATGGGCGGTATGGGAGCGATGGGCGGAGCCGGGATGGCCGGCAGTCGCGCGACCGTGAGTTGTGTCCGTAGGTCGCGCTAATACTAGGGCGGACGCCAGCCTCCGAACGCGCCGCGCGGCCCCGCCGCCATGCGCAGCACGGGCGGGCCGAGCGGTATGGCGCAGCCGATGGCGCAGAGCGGCAGCGGCAACGGCTCGGCGTCGGGGTCGGCTTCGGGCCCCCAGCGCTACTCGACCCAGGGGCAGCAGCGCGCCAAGCCCTACTAGCCTCGCATCGCAATCTCACGTCCTGTCTGTTTCATGCTGTAGAGTAAACTGTACGATGAAGAATGCCGTGTCAATGCGTCGGAGGTGTTGCATAGAGCACAATAGAACACACTGATCACTAGCGACTGATGGGATACCACAGCACAACGACAAGCGCGCTCATCAAAACCATTATACCTCAAGGGATACAAAGCTATAGTGTCCACAAGAACCTGTACAAAAGTGTCCTCAAATTACGCGTACGTCCTCGCCACACAGTGGCGGGCGGCCTGCACAACTTACAAGCGGTGGCCAGGCACAAGCGCAAAAATGATGGTGAAGATGGCGGTGAGGAGTATGGCGAGGGCCTCGATCCACAGGCCTCTGAGGAGGAGAAGCTTGCGCACGTATCCCTCACCGACGGTGATGAAACGGAAGGGAGTTGTCTCCGACTGGGCAAATATGGCGAGCAGCGGCGACAGCGAGTAGTAGGCCGCCACGAGGAGATTGAAGGCAAAGAAGTAGGGGATGATGATGAAGAGACGGCGCGCCTTAGGGCTCCAGTCAAGGAAGACGAAAGTGAAGGAGAGGGTGAAGGCGCCCCAGAGGATGACGAGGCCGGCGATGAAGCGCAGCATGGCTGAGGTGGGGGTGAGGTTGCCGAACGCTTTAGCGCGGAGAAAGCGCGGGAACGCGTCCTGCTCAAGCGCTCTAAAGATGTAGATTTTCTGGGCATGGAAGAGGTCGGGGATGAGGGGCGATATCTTGCCGTCCGTCGAGACGGGCACGTTGGTGAGCCGCAGCGCGGGGGGAAGGTAGATCTCGTGCTCGGCGCCAGGGAGAAGGTAGCGGAGGTAGATGCGCTCGGCGCTTTCGGAGAGCGCGTTCTTTTCTATCGCGCGATCGCGCGAGATTATCGTCGGCGCGCGCTGGTTTTGCCGTCCCTTGCCCCAGTCTCTAATGCTACCGCGGACGTTCTCGATGGCGGACCGCGTTGAGTGGATACTGCCGGGCCCGCCGCGCCCGGTCCCGCGCAGACTTGGGGTGCTTTGCCGATGTGCGTCAAAGCCTTGCTCGGCATCCTTGCTCGTCCCGACACCGGTGTAAGAAGAGCGCTGGAGCTCGCTGCTGCGACGGGCGGCGGGCCAGTTGTCGCGCGTGTTGAGTTCGAGCAGCGGGGCCATGTATGAGCCGTTCTCACGCACATAGGCGGCAAACTCGGGCCAATCGTCCTCGACCGACTTGCCGCTGCGTTTCAGGTCCTTGAAGTATGCCTTGCACAGGTTCTCGTGTTGCTGCACGTCGAGCCAGAAGTCGAGGGCGTCTTCCGAAGACTCGCGCTGGAGGAAGATCTGCGGTCAGCGATGCGCAGAGGTCGGGTTGCGCACATAAAAGCAAAAGAGGTCAAGCGGCGCGCGCGTGCGGCGGTCAAGAACCTCCTGCAATGTCGGGAGACGCTTTAGATTGAGATAGCGAGAGGCGCGCTTGTTCTTGCTCGTGCCGGAAGGCTGGGGCATGGGCGGCGACGACTGGTCGTACTCTACCCCCACAGGGGCAGCGGCCTTCTCGTTGTGATACTGCATCGTCTCGGGATGAGATGAGGCCATGGCGACTGTTGATGGAAGCGGGTATGCTGGGGTCCGCCCTGTTGGGAGGGGGTGACGCTGAGCAGGTAAAGACAGACAGTGAGGTGGTAGATTAGATGATGAGGAAGGGGAAGTGGATGGCGAGAAGGAGTGAGATGATGGGATGAGTGGATGGATGGTGCTTTGCTGATTGCAAGTCTCACCGTACGGCCACGGTATCATGGACTCGTGGCGTCCCGCCCCGACCCGCTTAGGCCCCTGGTCCCTTAGAATTGCCACACACATGCCATTCACGTTGTTGTTGACATTTGACACATGGAATTCCACGTCATTCGTAAGGCTTACGGATATAAGTCCTATCTCCACCTCACTCTCCAACGGAATGCTGCTGATGCACGCATCCGAGGAGGGAAGCGGGGGAAGCGACAACCACCACGCCACCACGCCACCACCATCCATACCGTCTAGCCCTCAATCTGCGGTGCTGTCAACTCACTCCTCCATCATCCGAGTTCGGCATATCGGCATGCGCCTGCACTGGCCGCAGCTCTACACTGCACGACCCTTGCCTGGGGCACGGGGCCAGCCAGCGTCCGCGCGCCCTCATTCCTCGGTCCGCGCTGCATGCATCGACGCATGATGCTATGCATGGATCAAGTCTGTTCTCGACGCCACCCAGCTCATAGACCAAACGCGTTGCTGCGCACAGACTCGGGGCGCGCCTGACTCTTTAGCTTGGCGTCCTGCGCGTCCTGCGCGCGTCCTGGCGTGGGCAGCATCAGTAGCTTGAAGGAGCCGAGGGGAAATGGCGATACGGCCTGCGGCCTGCGGGCGTGGCGCCCCTCTGTTTCCGCGCCTTGGCAATGTTCAACGCGTTGACCATTCCACGCATGGGCTCCCGCGCCATGTTCTGCGTCATTGGATTGCGTGGGATGCCATGTTTGATGTTTTTGGGCGGAAGAGCTTGGCGCAGTGTGAGCGCGTTGGGATGGAGGATATGGAGGGTTCAGAGAATAAGAGAATAACCTAGACGAACGCGTCGCGTGCCTCGCGTTTGAACTATCACTCAGCCGGAGAGCTATAGAAGGCACAGGGCAGGGATATTGTGCAGGACGCGGAAAAAAACCGCGTCGCGACGTACCCGCTCTCCCCCCCTCGCCTCGTACCCACGGCCGTGAGCGGCATGGGCAAAGGCAACGGGGCAACGGGGCGACGGGGGCAACGGGCACTTGCTTGTCAGCAACGGAACATCAATTTCAAGCGGGTTAAGCGGACATGTTGTCGCGTAGCGCGCTCAGGGAAGGCAACGACTGCCTCATCAGGCCTGAGGCATGCGGGTCCGAGGACAGGGGAGGGAGGGGGGTGACGTCGGTCACAGATTTTCGAACCCAGCTGGGTAACGAGGCTTGAGGGCCTGAGGGGGGGCGCATGCCATCAAAGGCTAATCTGCGTCAGATATTGTAATAGGTTCCTAATCCCTTCGCCCTATTCTTTTACTCAATACATGGCGAAACGCCACTCGGTGTGTGGTTCCGGGATACCCACCTGCACACCTGGCGACTGACAGCGCTGCGTGATCGACCTTGACATTCTGGACGAAGACTGCCTTCTGACTTGAGAAGGCAAAAGGATGCGAGGGAGCCGGGGAGCGGGTTGTTACAGCGCTCCGCTTCGTGGTAAGCAGGGTAGACTGGCGGTAACGATGGGATCGATAGAGAGGATGCCAACGGTTGGTGACTAGGAGTGATGCAGCGAGTGGAGGAGAAGCGGATCGGTGGATCGGTGGATCGGTGGATCGGTAGAAGAGGCTGGCCCCTCGGGCAGTCAGTCAGGGTAGTCGTGGACAAGATTGCTCAGTTTGCCAGGGTGGGTGGCGGCTTGAGCATCTTGGGACTGCGGGCGGCGCGGCTGAGGCTTCCTGCGTCTCTCAGCTCTCTCGGCCGCCGTCACTGCGTCCGGCTCCCGGTCCGTCCGTCCTTTGCCATGCTTTGCATCAATTTCCCCTTGGCACTCGGCCTCGTTGTCATCCATCAGCCTCCTCCTCCCCTCGGCCTCTCAAGCCGTCGGCCATGCATCCATCTCTCCTCACTATCTCAACTTGCTTTCTCATCGTCCGTCATCAACTCTTACCCCCCCAACACCCACCCTCCCCAAAGTCGCGTCCGAGGGCTTCCATCGGGGCCGTGGTGCACAGCACAGGACACACGCACGCACACACCCACGCACGCACGCACGCAAACACTCGGGCAGCGTGCACGCTCAGTGCAGACGACGTTGCTGGCTGATACTGCTGTCCAGCTTTCAGCTTCCTGTTCGGTTCAAGATTCTCTCTGGCTTCGGCCTCTGTGTCTCTTAGATCCGCTTCAACCCCACCTCGCTCCATCACCTCGTTCACCCCGCTCACCTCGTTTCCTCTGATTCCATACCAGTGACGTCCGCCGAGGTTGTGCAATCGACAGTTCACTCAACAATCTCCTCCTCTACTTACATCACCCACGCCATCATCACCACCCACATCACCCACCCACTTCCCCCGCCTAATCTACCTCGACACTATCCTCCTCCTCTGTTTTGTCTGTTACACATCGCCATTCCTTCGTCCTGTCAGCTGCTTTCTTACCGCACTCGCACTCAACGTCCTTCGTTCTTGTCAATCAATCACCCACCTTCACCACCAAAGGACGCTCCACAAACCCCGGCAATACCAAAGCCCCTCCCCGCCGCCGCGCCCTTCGCCGCCGTGCTTCCCACCTCGCACCGAACGCGTTCCGTCCCACCTCACTCGCCCTTCTCGCGACATCTGACGCTCTCCGCCTAGCGCCAGGCTCGTCAACGACGTAGGGGCTCGCTTCCCTTCCCAACCTTCCCCCCTCCCCCTTCCCGCCCAACATATCTCCCACCGAGGACCAACCCCGCGCCATGCCCGCCTCGACGTCGGGGGCACCATTAGTGCCCCGCCGTCGGAAGCGTCGGGCAAACAGAGACTCTTGGTGGGCGCGACATGTTACCAAGCCTCTGAGCGTACTCAACCCCGCGACCCTCCTTGCCAGAAGGAGAAAGCCCTCAACACCACGATCCATCTTTATCAACCAGGAGCTCCCCTCCGATTACTTTGATAAGAAGGGACGACCGCTCAAGAGCAAGGTGTTCTGTACAAACCAGAACATTACCTCCAAATACACCATCATCACCTTCTTACCGCGCAATCTGCTTGAACAGTTCCGCCGCATCGCCAACATCTTCTTCCTGTTCATCAACGTCCTCCAGTTCTTCCCCAAGTTCTCGACCATTTCGCCTGGTCTCGTCATTTTGCCACTCATTGTCGTCCTGCTCATCACCGCACTCAAGGATGGCTACGAGGACGTCAAACGCCACCAGGCTGACCGCAAGGTCAACCACTCAGTTGTACATGTTCTCGCTGGCGGCGATGGGCAGTATGTCAACCGCAACCCGATGGAAGGCAAGTCCAAGACATTTGTGCGCGGTCTTCCGCTGCCAAGACGCAAGAGCAAAAAGGCCAAGTCCGAGGACATGAAGGCCAACGCCGACCTCCTCAAGACCGGCAATGAGAACGATCTCGAGCGCATTCACACGATCAGGTCTCAGGTTTCCACTTGGGACAACGATCCTGAGGCAGGCGACAACCCAAAGGAGCTTGGGTGGCAGCGCACGATTTGGGAAGACGTAAAGGTGGGCGACATTGTCAAGATTTATGACAATGAGCCCATTTGTGCCGGTGAGTTGGCTAGGTGTGGGATAACTTCGGCGATCTTGTGGTATTCATGGTGGTTTCGTCCTTCGATCGACCCTTCCCTCCAATTCCATGCAGGACCACTGACGCCCCACAGACCTTATCGTGTGCGCTACTTCTGAAGAGGAGGACGTTTGCTACGTCGAGACCAAGGGATTGGACGGTGAAACCAACCTCAAGTCGCGCCATGCCGTTCCCGGTATCACCCATCTCGACTCGGTTCAGGCATGCGCGACGACCCAGATGCGCATCGACATGGAGGCGGCGGAGGTCAACATGTACCGCCTAAATGGCGCAGTCGTCCTCCCTGGGGAGGAAGGTGATGTCACGCACCCTGTGACTCTCGACACCTGTCTGCTCCGTGGATGCGCACTCCGTAACACTGGCTGGGTCATCGGTATTGTCGCCTTCACTGGCGATGACACCAAGATTATTCAGAACTCGGGTCGCGCTCCCAGCAAGCGTTCCCGCGTCGAGCGCCAGATGAACCCACAGGTGCTCTTCAACCTTTTTGTCCTGGGCATTATTGCGATGATCTGCGCGGTGATCGACCACTTCCTCGAGAAGGAGTGGACACCGCAGGGCGCGTACTGGATGCTGTTCAACGACACGTCAGGCGACAACCCAGACATCAACGGTCTCTGGACATTCTTCAATGCGCTTATTACGTTCCAGAACATCATTCCAATCTCGCTCTACCTGTCCATCGAGTTTGTGCGCACCGTCCAGGCTCTCTTCATTTTCTGGGACCACCAGATGCAGTACTTTAAGAACGGACAGAAGATTCGGACCACCGCTCGCTCCTGGAACCTTTCCGACGACCTTGGGCAAGTCGAGTACATCTTCTCGGACAAGACAGGCACTCTCACCCAGAACGTCATGGTTTTCCGCCAGTGCTCCGTTGGCGGGAAGATTTACTTTGGTGACGAGGTGGAGCCCACCGCGCCCAAAAAAGACAAGCCTCTCGAGGACACCATGAGCAGCTCGGACGACAACTCGAACTCGACCGGCGATGCCGCGAGTGTTCGCAGAGCCGAAGCCGTGGAGATCCCGCCATTCCGCGACCAGACTCTCACGGCCGACCTGAATGATCTCGACTCGGAGCAGTCGCGCATCCTTCACGGCTTCTTCGTTGTCCTCGGTCTTTGCCACACGGCGCTCGCATCGCAGACCGAGTCTGGAACTATCGCTTACAAGGCACAGTCGCCTGACGAGGCGGCTCTTGTCCAGAGCGCTGCCGACGTCGGGTTTGTCTTCCTCGGCCGTGACCGTAACATCCTCCGTCTCAAGACTCCCTACGCCGAGCAGCCCGACGAGTACGAGCTCCTCAACGTGCTCGAGTTCAACTCGACCCGCAAGCGCATGTCGGTCATTGTGCGCAAATGTGATGACCAGGGCATGATTCTCCTTCTCTCGAAGGGTGCCGACAACATTATTTTCGACCTGCTCAACAAGTCCGACGAGTCACAGGCCAAGTTGCGCGAGAAGACGGACAAGGACCTCCAGGTGTTCGCCAGCGAGGGTCTCCGCACTCTGTGTCTCGCGTACCGTGTCCTTGAGCCCGCCGAGTACGAGGCCTGGGCGAGTGCCTATCATGAGGCGGAGGTTGCTCTAAGCGACCGTGAGCAGAAGATGGAGGACGTCATGGCTCAGGTCGAGACCAACCTGCAGTTGTTGGGCGCCACCGCCATCGAGGACAAGCTTCAGGACGGTGTTCCCGAGACCATCGCCGACCTTAAGCGCGCGGGTATCAACATTTGGGTTGCAACGGGTGACAAGCTCGAGACTGCCGTGGCCATTGGTTACACGACCAATCTGCTAACCGCCGACTCGAACCTGATCATCATTCGCGAAGGCAGGCACTCAATTCACGATCAGCTGCGCGACTCGTTGGGAGGGTTCTTCGGCGAGGATCTCCGCCGCTCCAACTCCCTAACGCAGCTCGACACCCGAGCCTCCACCCAGCTCCGCCGCGTCAACACAGGCGTGGGGTCGCTTGTCGGGGACGACAACGGCCAACGCCCAGGCGGTTTCTCGCTCGTGATCGAGGGCTCGGCACTGGCCGAGGTCTTCAACGACAACTCTGGCGAGTGCGAAGACCTTCTGATCCAGCTGGCCTTGAAGTGCAACACTGTCATCTGCTGCCGAGTGTCGCCCCTGCAGAAGGCTCAGATCGTCCGACTCATCAAGGACAACCTCGGCGTGCTTTGCCTTGCCATCGGTGATGGAGCCAACGACGTCTCGATGATCCAGGCCGCTGATGTGGGTGTTGGTATCTCGGGCGAAGAGGGTCTCCAGGCTGTCAACTCTGCCGACTACGCAACCGGGCAGTTCCGCTTCCTCAAGCGGCTCCTCCTTGTCCACGGTCACTGGTCGTACTACCGTAACGGCACCATGATTGTCAACTTCTTCTACAAGAACATCATTGGTATCGGTATTCTATTCTGGTACATGTTCTTCTGTGGATGGTCGACCACTTTCGTCTACGCCTACGTCTACCTGCTCTTCTGGAACGTCTTCTGGACACTCTGCCCTGTCATCGCTATCGGTGTGTTTGAACGTAACGCCGAGGATGTCGACCTCATGGCCCTCCCTGAGCTCTACCGCTACTCCCGTGAGCACAGATACTACAACTGGCCCCGCTTTTTGTACTATCTCTTCGAGGGTGTGTACCAGACGGCGGTCGGCTACTTTTTCATCCACTACACCTACGTGTCTACCACTACGCGCGGCGACGGCTGGGACATTTACAAGGACGAAATGTCGACGACCATGGCTGTTGCCGCTGCGATGTACGCGAACCTGTTCTCTGGTCTCAACATCGACGCGTGGAGCTGGTGGGTCGTATTTGCCGTATGGGTCGGCCCCTTCCTCATCTGGGTCTTCACTCCCATCTACTCGATCGTCCCCCCCACCACTTACATTTCTGGTGTTTACGGCAACGACATCTTCCTGTTCCGCTCGGCAGCGTTCTGGTTCGGCTGGCCGTTCGTAACCATTATCGCCCTCATGCCCCGATACCTCATCAAGTTTGCTAAGCAGAACATCTTCCCGAACGACATTGACGTGATGCGCCTCGTGCGCAAGTACCACCCCAATGTCGATCCCTTCACAGACCCCATGCTCGGTGGTCGTCTTGACAAGTCGCACGAGAACGACGACATGGTCATTGGCCGTGTGCAGTCCAATGCCGCCATGGCCAGCAGGAACAGCATCGCCCTCGAGGAGCTTACCGGGCCTGCAGAGTACACTCCTGCTACCGAGTATCCCCCGCGCCAGAGCACCGAATACTTGGGTCGCCGGAGTGTCGACTCGGCCAGCAGCCGGCCCGCACGACCCAGCGTGGACTCGAGCCGTGTGCGGCCCAGCATGGAGTCGCACCGCCCGAGTTTCCAGAGCACGCGTCTTGGCATGGCCGGCGGCATTCGCGGATCGCAAGTCGACAGTGAGTTTGCTATTCTCTATGCCGGCGTTCTCAGCTAACATCAGTGTCTACGGGCCTGACGCGCGAGCCCTCGCGCGGCTTTGGCTTCGATGTGGAAGAGGGTGGCGTGGCCATCAGGCGCATGCAGTCGTCCCTGTCGCAGACATCGCAGCAGCGCCAGCGATACACTTTGCGCCGGCTGGCCGTGCAGAACCGGCAGAGCAACTCGCCCGCGCCCTCGCCCCACTCGGCGTTCAAGAGCCTGCGCAACCGCGCCGGCTCGATTCTGCGCCCGCGCCACCGCTCGAGCACAGTCAATACGCGCGGCTCGACACAAATGAGCGGCGACGACGCCGCGCAACCACTTGCCGCGTCCCCGCCCCGATCGCCATAGATTGTCACTGTACGACTTACTGCCCTTGGGATCGCTAGACTCATATGCATAGCTAGGATATAATGACTGTTGTTGAGGAAACGTGCGTGAGATGAAAGCTGTGAAGTTGCGTGAGAAACGTTTGTTGATACGAGGCACGTTCCTGAAGGGAGTAATGTCTGATAAGGCCCCACGGGGAGGGAGAAAAACACGAGACAAGATCGATTTCAACGCTGCACAGATAGATGACGGGATATGCATACGTCTGTTATCACTCGGCGAGCTCAACCTCGGCGCGCTTGGCCCATGCGAGCGCCTCCCAGGCCTCCTTATCCCAGGGGCGAAGCATGACAGCACGCTGCAAGCTTTCGGTCCCACTCTCGCCCTCGAGCGTGAGCGCTATGCCGCGCATGGAATCGGCCTTCGCCGCCTCAGCGACCGGCCCGAAGCCCGTACGCTGCAACAGCGCGACAGCGGGGGCGCACTTCCCCGCCGCGACATAGGCGGCAGCGAGGCGATTACGTGGCACAGGGTCCCACGGGGACGCGGCGGCGCTCGCCTCGAGGCTGGTGATGGCGCCCTCCTCGTCGCCCTTTGCGAGCGACGCGGCCGCTAGCACGGCGTCGGCTGTGCGTTGCGGATCCTCGGCGCGACGCTCGGGCGAGGGGTCCGCCAGCTCGGATAACGCGGCATCCAGCAGATCTGCGTCAGACGAGGCGAGGGCGGCTGCGCCCAGCGCCGCGATGACCTTGAGAGAGGGGCGCTCGTGCTCCAGTCTGCTGTCAGTGTTTGGAGGACGTGCTGACTCACGATTCCATGAGCTGGTTCTTCGCAGCCTCCGCGGCATCCTCGCCGCCAACCGACCAGAGTGTGCGCGCGAATAGCACAGCAATTTCGTCGGTGAGTGCGTCGTCGTTCTTCGCTGCGTCCAAAGACGATTGGAAGCTCTCGAGAGACGCATCGAGGTCACCGAGCCAGAAGTGGGCAAGGGCCGCGCCCAGGCGGGCTTGCGCGAGCTGTCGGGCAACACGCTCCTCAGAGGATGCGGCAGCGAGTTCCGCCGCGTCCACGAACGCGCTCAACGCGCTGTCGTACTTGCCGGCGGCAAGACGCACACGCGCGAGGTTTAGGAGCGCGGTAGCGTACTCTGCCTCGACTTCCGCGCTCTCGGAGCGCTCGAACTCGTCCTCCAGTAGCTTGGTGGCTTGCTCGAGCGCCGACACCGCCTGATCCGTCAGGCCGAGGCGCTCAGTCACGAGCGCCTGGAGGTGCTTCGCCTCCGCTGACTCCGGATGGGCCGCAACATAACGTGCAAGCGCAAAGGCTGCCTGGTGTAGCGGTGCAGTGTCTCGCGCAAGAGGAGTGAGGAAAGGGCCAAAGGCACCGAGCGCAAGGGCCAGATCGGCCTCGAGCAAACTGCCAGCAGAGAGCGTGGCAGAATGCGCGAACAGACCGGCTGAGGCGTGATATTGCCCGTCCCTCTGGGCGAGAATCGCTTGGCCAAACCATGCGCGCGCATAGTCAGGATCGAGCGTCTGGGCTTTGAGGAAGCACTGGTTCGCGAGCTCGCGGTCGTCTGCTCGTGTATACAAGAATCCGAGGTTCGTCCACACTTCAGGGTCCTTAGAGTACAGCTCGAGTGAGACAACAAAGGCATGCTGGGCAAGTTGCTGACCTGCTGCGGCGCAAATCACGCCAAGAGCGTTCCACAGCCGCTCATCGCTCGGGTCGCGCTCCAGCGCCAAGCGCACTGCCAAGATTGCGGCCTTGGTTGCAGGTGTGCGAAGTTCCTCGTCTCGCGTGGCCAGGGTGTGGAGTGCACAACCGAGGTCATAGTGGGCCGAGTTGGCGCTGTGCTCGTTCTTGAGGAGGTGGGCACGGTAGGCGAAGGCGAACACGGCTGCCTTAACAGCGTAGTGAGGGCCTGGAGCGGCCTGCAGGAGGTTTGAGGCGTGCCCAAGCCCATTAACGGAAGAACGGCGATCATCATCATCCGCAACAAGGTGCTCGAGGACGGGGTGAATGATCGTGGCAGTAGATTCGATGTCTTTAGGGTCGACCTCGCGCTCGGCAAGTTTGAGCATCGCATCACCAATTAGCTTCCACGCCCAGGCGCGGTGAGAACGACCAGAAGTGAGTACTCGCAGGGCGTACTTGATCGCCGCATGGAAGGCGCTGCGCGAGCGCTCTCGGAAGCCGCCGGCGGCAGAGACACGGCCCAGAGCCAATGTCGCTTCAGCCAGCGCGGCTGTTACACCGACCTCAGCTGAGTTTGTAGCGGCGTCGACTTCCTCAAATGCCGCAATGGCGCCAGCATAGTCGCCCAACTGCATGTATGTCTCGCCCATGTGATAATGGGCCATCCACATGCTGGGGTCAATGTCCAGCGCCTTCTGCAGCGCCTTGAGGCCGGCCATGTGCCGCCCGCTCTTGACGTATGCGTCGCCGAGCATGCGCCACATGCTCGCATCCTCGGGGTCGGCACGCAGTGCCACCTGGAATGCCTGGATTGCCTTGGCGTAGTTCTTGTAGTACTGGAGTTAGCTTCGCCTAGGCATCAGCTTACAATCTCGGTCGAGCCCAGGGCCTTCCACGCCCAGCCGTTCGTCGGAGCGAAGCGGCCAGTAGAAGTGTTCATGGCGTCACCGCCAGCAACACCCTCGACACCACCCTCGCCCTCCATGACACGCATAGCAATGGCGCGGACCTGTGCCCACTCATCCTCGTCAGCGTAGCCGAACGCCAGACGCCGAGCGGCGTCGGCCTCAGTGGCATCGAGTTCAAATGCTTTCTGGAAGCACTTGAGAGCACGCTCGGTGTCAGGAGGCGAGTGACCTTCAGCGTAGCAGATACCGAGGGCAGTGTATGATGGTGCGAAGGACGCATCGGCGCGCAGCGACGCCATGAACCACTCCTCGGCCTGAGTGCGTGATTCAGCATCTCCAATCATCCACTCGGTGCGGCCGAGGCGCCACCACGCGCGGGCACGAACAAACGCCTCGTCATCCTTGCCCTCCTGCTCCTTGCGTGTGTCTCGGAGTTCAACGACCTCTTCAAGCACATCGCGGCCCTCGACGAGCTTGCCCTGGTTAACGAGGCACCAGCCGACTTCCTCCTTAGCGCCCGTCATCTCCTTGTCGTCGCCGCCTTGGTCGAGGAGGCGCTGGAACTCATCCTGGGCGCCCGCCCAATCGCCAGCAGCCTCAAGAATTTGACCGATGCCAAAGCGGGCAGCGTAGTTGACCGGTTGAGCCTTCAGGACGCCGTTAAGAAGGCGTGAGGCGCGAGGGTGGTGCTTGGGAGCGTAGTAGGGAATGAGCGCCACACCGAGTGCCTCGTCAAGGGAGATCATAGCCTTTGCAAGTGTGATGCCGCGCTCGATCTCCACCTCACGCACAAGCTTGCGGGCCTTCTCGGCGTACGCGATCGCGTTCACCCAGTCCTCGTCCTTCATTGCGACACTTGCCATGACTCGGTGTGCAAAGATCGAGGTCTTCAGGCTGTCGAGTGTCTTGGTCATGGCCGCAGTCAGCTCCTCGCGCTCCTCCTCAGTGAGATTTTCGGCGAGCTTGCCGTCGCGCTTCGCCTCGCGGCGGGCCTTACGGCGAGCGCGAGCATTCTCGCGGTCTTTGCGCCCCTTGTTGGGCCGGCGGTACCTGCTCTTTTTCTCCTTCTCCTTGTCGCTGCCGGGCGACCCGGTCTCGGCTGGTGCAGGCTGGTCCTCATCAGGCTCGGGCAAAGGAAGCTGATGAAGACGAGCATAGTCGTCGATGAAGTCGGTGAAAGCCGAGTTGGGGAACACCTTAGCGTACCTCATGAGCAGATCGTGGTCGTATTCAATAGTGGGCTCGTCGCGACCCTCTATAACCCACGCCCAAGCATCTTCCGCGCCAGGGACGCCGATCTCGAGGAGAACGAAACCTTCCGCCAAGCCCCCGGTGCGCTTGCAAGCCTCGGCCTTCGTAATCTTTGGTGTCTCGGGCTTTCTAAACAATGGCGGGGTATTTGGATCCTCTGCCAAGGTCGCTGAGGGCTTGGGCGGCAAACCGGCCGAGATCATCATGCCACTCTTTGCCGGCGCATTGGGTGGGGCCTTTGGAGCTGACTTCTTGTCCTTGCCGTCGGTGACCACAGACACAAGACGACGCCAATACTTAAACTCTTGCACCTCGACAAGGCGGCGCATGTCCTCGTCCACGGAGGGGTGAGATGATACGTCCCGCAACAGGTTGATCATCTGCGCTCCCAGCGGGCCTCCAAGCACTTCAGCGTCCACGCGACGGCGCACATCGCGCTCAGTTCCAGCGTTAATGCGCTGGCGGCCAGCCTTAACCTGGGCCTCCGTGTTCGTGTAAATCTCTGCCTGCACCCGGAGAAGTAGATAGAGAACGAGCGCAAGCGAGCCAGCGAGATGGTGAACGTGAGGCAGGGGGCGAGGGATCTCGGGAGCGGTCGCATCCTTAGCTGCTGGATACTTTGGGGGCTGCAAAGGCACGTAGGATCCCTGCGGCACCGGAGCCGTCTGGATCAGTGGGACAAGGGGTGACGAAGGCAAAAGCAGACGAAGCGCGTCGTACAGCTGTGGTAAGGAAGGAGCGTTCCGAATGGGCTTACCATCGCCTTGGGGCCATGAGTGAGTCGGTGCTCTATGACCTCCTGCATCGCAGCTGATGCTTTCTCGGCGTCGCCCCTGATGTCAGCTTGCGCTCGCTACATCTCGGTTCAACGTACGCATCGTAGGCCGCCTGCACCTGTATCTCAAGGAGACGACCTAGGTCATCCCAACGTTTGTTGTTTATGTAAAGCTTCTTCAACCCGGGCAGGGCGAGCGCATGACCGGGTGCAAGTCTCAGTGCAGCATGGTACGACTTCTCGGCCTCGTCAAGACGCTCGATATGCGTGAGGGCAAGTGCGCGAAACGCGAGTCTGAAGTCAGTGTCTAGCGAGACGCAAGCTAATGGAATGTTGTGGTTGGAACCGCTATTTGAAAGAAGGCGCATATTCAACGCCTTCGATGAACGATCACGACTCGCGCCCTATGCGCTGGCCGCGACTGGGTGTGCTAGTCGTCATTCTCGGAGCTCGACTCACACAGTCGGCGCCTCGGGGTCCTTCTCGCCAATGCTTTTGAGGAGCGTCGTTGCCTCATGCAATGCGCCCTCTGGCTCTTGATTTTGGAGCTTTGCGCGAATGGATTTTAGGGCGCTTTTCGTGCTCATCGTAGCAGTCGCTAGAACGCTGGGCTGCTAAACGATGAGTTGTGCGCTGTGATGGGAAGCAGAGATGGGGTGCGTGTTAGATGACAAGAAATGTTGGAACTGTGGAGGGGGGGAGATGACGCGTATGAGGCGCATAGGTGAAGGGGGGCAGCGGAGATTCAAGTGGAGGTCCGATAAGCGTGTTGGCTGCGTGGCTGCGGAGTGCCGGAGTGGGTCGGTTGCCTCGGAACGTTGTGCCTGCGTAGTGCGTGCCTTCCTTGCTCGGCGTGCTTCCGAGGATCTCGCTCAACCTCGTTAGTCAACTCGACGCGCTCCATATTTTATTCCTATTGTTATTATTATTAGGAGGCGGAACTTCAGAGGCCGATCATTTGTTAGAGGGTTCCAAATCGGGTCATTACCGCTGATTAGAATTAGAAGTGGTGTTCCAGTCGTGTAGGTATTTGCCTCCCCCACGACTTAACCCTTAGACATCAACTGCGCTTCCCGCGCTCACCCTTCACCCAGCTGAGCCTGCGGCCGCCCCCCATCTCGGCGAAGGCACACTCCTCACCCACGTCCACTATCTCTCCACCGACTACCACCTCTTCACTTCATCCCCATCTCATCTCTCTCCATCTGTCCACTAGACGCACTCGATACACGCCTAGATCTAGACGACGACCTTGGCAGACAACAAGGTAAGTTGGTCGATCCCTCGCCACCCCCCCCCGTCTCCCCCGCCAAGCCACGGGTGGAGGCACAAGCTTTTCCACCTCCGCACGTTTCCTCCCCGTGTTATCGCGGCCGTCGCGTCTCCACCCTCCAGCACAGCGCCACCCCAACAGTGCATCGCGGCGGTGCAGTGTCCATGCATACTCGCAACTTTGTTATTCCTTGCGTAGATTGCATTGCGAGTAACAAACAGGCTCATGCACTGTTGAACCCCAAGGTTCCCAATAGAGACAACCCTCGGCGGCCCTCTCCATTTCCCCGCACCACATATTTGATGGCTCATGGCTCACTCCAGAGACCGCCAACTTGACCTCCATCTTGCCAACAGTCTCCCTCAATCCCGGCTGCCCGCTTCCAGCCACCCCTTCCACTCTGCAAGCAGACGTGTCTCGCGACTCGACACGTTCTGCTGCAAATGATTCCACCTAACGACAATGCCGCCCTCGGCCTGTCCTTTGGCTCTGGCGGTCGCGATGCCGGGCCATCGACCACTCCATCAAGCCCCGAGCGGCGTCTGGTCAGCGAGAATATGCCAGCCGTGACAAACGCTAAGCAGGAGCTTCACAGCGGTGATGGACACAAGGCTGGAGCCGGCGTCTTGGCTCACCCAGCTATCCCCCCGCCCCCAAGTCCCCGACGGCATCGGAGTGGGGGCCTTTCGCGCATGCGTGCAGCATCGGGTGGCATTGCCTCGAGCAAGAGCTTTGGAGATTTGATTCATGGCTTGACCATGACATCTGCTCCTCAACCCATGGACACAGCCCCCGCCTCGGACGCGCCTCCAAGTAGTTGGAGGAGTGCGAGTGACGGGTCACGGCTCGCGGACGACCAGATCGAGAACCACGAAGGTGGCGACTACGATAACAGGTGAGCTTCTTCTCCTGCATCGTGTGTCCGGCTAACGAATAGCGCGCGCTTCTATCACCGCATGCACTCGTCTTCGCGGGCAGCGTCACCAACGAGGACAGGCAGCGCTTCGCCAGGGGGGCGTTCCGCGTCAGGAGGCGCCTCGCCTTTGATCATGCGCCGCAATCTCACACTTCCTCCAGGCAGCCAGGGGCACTCGCCAGGCGCTAATTTATCGACATCACTATCTCCAAACTCGCGGTTTCTCCAACAGCATCTTCCCCCAACCTTCCCGCTCTCCAACTCGCCGCAGCCAAGTCCAGATGCTGCCGATGCTGCAGACCCACTTGCGCTGCCTATGCCGCAATCAGCATTCACAAACGCTCAAGTCATCCTCACACCAACGACACGAGAATGGCGCGAACTGAAGGAGATTGGGCGCCTTGAGGGAGAGGCTGTACCGGACACCGACAGCGACTCAGCTAGTCCGACGTCCCCCGGGAGTGGCAAGAAGCCCGCAACCGGCAACGACTATTTCTCCAACGCGCGCAGGGACATGCCCGATACCCCCGTCACCCCTGGACGTCCAGTTTTCCAGCCAGTGATCACTGCTGCCAGCCCAATTCCGCCCGGTGACAAGGGGCCGGAAGGGGGCGATGGTGCAGGAGAGGTGCCCGCTGTCGTGCTGCAAGACATGGATGGCAATAGTATCAACGAGGACGAAGCCATTTCGATGGACGCGTCTCTGGGGTTCTCAAGCTTTGGCAGAAGTGACTCTCTCCGCATCAAAACTAGACCCAATTCCAAGACCCCGAAGGAGAAGACGAAACGCGAGCTCCAGCGCGAACAACTCTTCAAAATGGTCGACCAGGAAATAGCAGAGGCGGAACCTGAGCCCGAACCTGGGCATCGGACGTGGAACATCCGGGGTGTTGGTAGCGGAGGTGGCCTCGACTCGCGGATGAGTCGAGACGGCTCGTCTATGTCTGATGCGGGTGCGATTGAACCTGAGAAGAAGTGGGAAGAACCGCCCGTCGAGCTTGGATCACTCAAGGCAACACCAACCAAGGCGGAGCGCTCGCCCCAGTCCATGTCCGAGCGTTCGCCTTCCCGCTCACCCGAGGCAGCCCGAACCCTTGCCGCAATATCTTCTCCAAAGGATTCTGCTGCTCGACCTCGTCCATCTCCTTTGCAAGCCACGTCTGTCGCGGGTGCGACGCAATCTGGATCTGACGGGTCTCTCGGCTCGGATATTGACTCGGCTCCAAAGAAGGTCGAGCCGGCTCTCCAGTCACCGCCCCCCGAAACGCAGGTCGAGCGCTACGAGGCCATCCGGCACTACGCGCGACAACTGTCCACCCGCAAGTCATTAGGCTCGGGACCCTCGCGCCCGCCGTCTCGCGCGCCCTCGCGTCGCGGGTCCTGCGAGGCCGAGGCGACGACGCCGAGATCGCCTAGGAGACGCGACACGCTGCGTGTCTCGCTCGTCGCGGGGCGTGTCGTCAAACCAGCTGAATTTCCGGGGCTCTCACCCCTGACTCCTTCAAACCCTGCAGGTGTCATGTCGGCCAAGTCGACGTTGCAGAGCTTCTCGCCGTTTCGCCGTGCGAGTCCCACCGGAGTGCGGCCGCCACTGTCAACACAGGGATCGTCGTTTTCTGTTGGCGGATCGTTTTCGGGCGCCGGGTCGTACGCGTCAAGCATTCTCGCGCCGAGCCAGCCGCCGACGCCTGCAAATGAGTCTGCACAGAACGGAATTGGCGGCAACGGCATTGACGATTATATCATCCTCAAGGAGGCGGGCCAGGGAGCTTATGGCCTTGTGATGCGGGCCAAGGTCAAGGGTGCCAAAGGCGAGCCCATCGGTGTAAGTTGTGGCTTACATGAGCCGCAAGAGGTATGCTGACTGGAAGGATGAGGTCATAATCAAGTACATCATCAAATCTCGCATCCTCGCCGACTGCTGGAAGAAGCACAAGGCGCTCGGCCCGATTCCAGTGGAAAGTGAGTGTAGGCAGTCGAGCTGTCTGACCCCAGTCCATGTCATGGACTTGATCCGCCACTTGATCTACTTGCCCCCAACCAAGCCGCACCCTTGGGACCCATTCCGAACCAGACGCGACGCTAATAGCAACGGCGGCGGTGTCCTCGGACACTCAACTCCCGATCAAGTCGCCGACTCGGCCGCCGTCAGTCGCTCGAGCACCCCGGCATCGCAGGTGAATACGACGTCCCGATACATCTCGAGTGAGATCAAGCACGCCCCGGAAAGAGGCCACCCGAATGTGTGTAAGCTGCTCGACTTCTTCGAGGACCGCGAATTCTACTACCTGGTGATGCCGCGGTATGGGACGGGCGTGGATCTTTTTGACTACGTCGAATCCCACCCAGACGGTTTACACCCGTTCGAAGTTCGCAGCTTTGTCGGACAGCTCACAGATGCCGTGCGTTTTTTGCACACAAACGGCATTGTGCACCGCGATATCAAGGACGAAAATGTGATTCTCGACGGTGAAGGCAGATGCCAGCTCATCGACTTTGGATCGGCGGCACACTGGCGGCCGGGCAAGCGCTGGGACACGTTCAGCGGCACACTGCATTACGCATCACCGGAGATTCTGCGCGGCGAGATGTACGGCGGAAAGGAGCAGGACGTATGGGCGCTCGGCACGGTAGCCTACGTCCTCCTGGTCGGGGAGACACCATTCTCCGAGCTGCCGGATGAGGTCTTCACCGGCCTGGTACCAGGGTCACGCGCCGAGATGGCACTCGTAGCGCGGTGCGGCTCACCAGACGAGGGTCGCGAGCCAGACGGTGGTGGTTCACTGCGTGATGCCGCAGACTTCGTGCGCCAGTGCCTGCAACCCGAGGTCAGCGACCGGCCGACTGCGGAGCAGCTTCTGTTGCACAGGTACCTGGCTGGCGGGGCGGGGTGGGTCGGTCACCGTGGGTGGGACCGCAAGGCCTCGCCCGCGCCGATCACGGTTGTGGCATAGCTGTTTAGCACTGTGTTTTTAGAGGTATGGGGGATAGAACGGCAGAGCGCGGAAATTGAAGCAAATCTACATCTTCATCTGTCGTATCGCGAAGCAATCAATGCATGATGTGCGGGCCGAAGTGGAAGTGAACGTCGGGATGGCGTGGGCGAACTCGACACAAGCTGAAACCCACTCAGTAGTATGCGGGCGTCTCGACGGCGGAACGAGACTCGTCTCGCCCTGCCACACACCATCTTGTCATGTACGCCGCATTGAAGCGAGGTCACTCAGAATGGATATCCATCTCGCCTACCCCTTCTCACGCAACTGCATTGCTCACATGCCGTGCCCCATCTGCTGTTCTGGTGATCTGAGACGTGAGACGAGGGACCGAATTAGCCAGCGGCCAGCGGGACGCAAGCGATGCCCCGATATGACGCGCAGCTGCGCATTAAGCATACCGCGAGCCGCGTGAGCCTCATTTCAACCCGAGACAGGCTGCGCTCGCAGCTCCGATCGTATCTCGGTCCTGCAGTCCACAAGGGACTCAAGGCGGTGTAGGCCGGTGCGCGGAAGCATGTATGTTTATCAGTCGCGACGCTTCTCAGCTTCAGATACCCATTCATTCATTATCCTGCCACGCAATATGTGGCCGTGGCTGCTCGCTCTCGCGCTGCCTGCGCTGGCGTGCGTGCCCAACAGCACGGCGCAAGCCGACATCCAAGCGCTCCTGGCCGCCGGCGGGCGGGGATACACGCTCTCCCTGTGCCCGGGGCAGGTGTACGACGTGGCCGGCCCGCTCAACTTCACCGCAGCCGAGCAGGAGATCAGCACGGAAGGATACCCGACGGGGGAGGCGCGCGCGGTGCTCCGCGTCGTAAGTGGCATGTGTGCGGTGCGGGGCAACGGCGCGGGGCTGGACGGCGTGCGTCTCCGCCACGTCCAGGTCGACGGGAACCGGGTCGGCAACGCCGGTGCGCCTGGGTCTAACGAGGGCAACATCGAGGTCGGGGGGAGCAATCGCGGACAGGTCGTCGAGTGGGTCCGCAGCTTCAATCCCCGCGGGTGGACGTGTCTGCATGTGTAAGACTTGAGAAGGCGGGGGGAAGCTCACGCCAGCGTCGAAGGCGAGCTGGCGTGCGCCAACGCCACGATTCAGCATAACGACATCGGGCCGTGCGGGCACGATACGTGGGCTGATGTGCGTGCGCTCCCTATCCTGCTGACCGCAGTGGGCGGACGGGATCAGCCTCTCGTGCGCGAACAGCACAGTGTACAATAACACGATTGTGGACGCCACCGACGGCGGCATCGTCATCTTCGGCGCGCCGTACTCGACCGTAAGCGCGAATCGGGTTCGCGCGAGCACAAGAGTCATGTTAGGAGGCATCAATCGTGCGTCTCCGTGAGAGGCAGGCGGGCGGCAGCGGAAGAGGGAGGCGGTATAGGCCCGGAGACTCACACTCTAGTCGTCGACATGCTCCCGTGGAAGCCAGACGGCAATTACAGTGGCACACGGGTCGTCTCCAACTTTATCGAGGGCGGGTACGCTAGCGCAGCGGGCAACGCGTCGAGAGGCCCTAACGCCGCGCGCGCACTCATCAAGATTGGCATTGGCGTGGGGCCGAAAGTGTGGTGGGCGTGAGTGTCTCCCGTGTTGCGACTACAGCGCGGAACTGACATCAGCGAGACTTACCAAAACACGTCGCGCGGCGGTGAAGTCTCAAATAACGTTCTCTCAGGCGCATTCTCGTTCGGCGTGGCCGTCGGCGGGGTGCAGAACTTTAGAATTACGAACAACTCGTTTGTCGGCAATGCCACGTTTGTGAGTCCTCAGCGTTGGTGAATGGACTTGTCTGCTCACTCACAAAGATTGGAAGCTACGGCGCCAACTGCACGCAGTGGGACAAGACGCCTAACCCTCCTACCGCGCTACTTCGCGAGCCTGACTCCCTCGTCAACGTTGAGATCGCAAAACGCGATGATTACGGATGGACAGACGGGCGTGTGCAAGGACTCACATGCTTCGTCCCACCGCCAGCAAACGAGTGGGCGTGGCCGTATGGCGGGGGCGGCTTCAACGCTGACCCCACAACCTCTGCATCTACACCACCCACACCCACACCCTCTGAGGTGAAGGCGCAAGACAGCGCTGCCACGCGCTTCGTCCCCGCGACGTGCCTGACGCTCATCGCTGCCGCAATGGCTGCTCTTGTATAGAACACTTGTCCGCATTTAGGACGCTCTACTATGTATCTTACATGCTTACAACCTAAAAATCACTGGAACTCCTCAAGACGGCGCTGGTTGCGGACAGGGTCGGCGAGGCGGATGACCTTGTTTCCTCGGCCAGCCGTGTTCACACCGTTCATGTCGAGCGGCGAGATCAGCACGAACTGTTTGCTCGTGGCATCGCGCGCGGCTTCCATCTGTACGTCAGCTATTATCGGCAACGCCAACCTCACAAGTAGATTAGCGGCAATCCTGCGGTTCGCCGAGTCCAGGAACACATCCCACTCATCGAGACAGCGGAGACTGGCCGGTGCTGAGTCCCACATTGAGAGCAAGAGCGAGACAGTCACGAACGAGCGCTCACCGCCACTCAGGCTCGCGGGGCCCTTGTAGACCATCTCGCGCTGTGTGCCCGCGTCGTTGCTGGTCGCCACCTCGAGGCGCAGCTCTTCCGCGACGTCGTGGTCAAAGTGTAGACGCCCATCGAAACCGCGCTTGCGGATGTTCTCGATGAAGCGCATGTGAATACGAATACTTGTATTCTTACGCAGCACCTGCCAGCGGTCTGTGCGGTCTTCAAATCCGGTCTTTAGCAGGCGCTCGATGTCACGGAACGAGTTGATAAGCAGAATCGTCTTGTTGAGGCGCTCAGTCTCGATCAGGTGCTGCTGTACGACCTGGTCGAGGTCAATGTTCGTCCGGCGCTTGGCTTGTTCAATTTGCTTGTCGACAGCCTTGCGCTCGGCTTCGATATCGGCAGCGTTCCCAAATTCGTCGGGACGCTCCATGAATCCCAATGCCGAATTTGTCCACGACTTCGGGTCAGCGCTGTCTGATGATACGCCCACCTTGAGCGTCTTCTCATCCTCATCGATCGTGGCCTGTTCCTTCTGCAGGGCCTGCTCTGCGCGCTGGAGTGACCCCTTGTAGTGCATGCGCTCGTTATCACACTTCTTGACCTGCTGCTGAAGGCTAGTGAGCATGTCCTTCTTCTTCGCAATTTCCTCATGGAACGAGTTGAGCGAATCCTGGGCTGCCGCACTGTCGGCCTCGGCGGCTTCAAAGTCCTTTTGCCGGACGTCAAGGCTGCCCTCGAGGTTGTTGAGTTCTTCCTGCAGCTTGGCCTTCTCTCCGCGCACCTCCTGTAGAGAAATCTCAGTGGCGTTGCCGTCGATAGGCCGCAATGCGTTCAGCTTGTCAGTAATGGCCTCGATGGCTCGCCGAATATGAGGGATGCCCCTCTGATTGTGCTCCAGAGCTTTCTGACCGTCAGCTTAGTCGCAGAAAATGGAGCTGACCTCTGCCGTCTTGAGTTTCTCGCTGGCCTTGTCGGCGTCTGTCTGTCGTACTCGGAGCTCCGCACGCAAAGTGCGCATGGTGGCTTCACGCTCAGCAACGATTGGCCGGAGTCTCCTGATGGCGTGAGTGTCTCCCGATCTTTTCTCTTACTCAATCTCTGCCGCGACATCAGTCACAAACATGTCAGGACCCTTCCACTTCGGCTGAGGGCCAGATTGTCGTAGACTAATGTCAGCAATCGCAGCGCGGCGCAATCCTACCGATTCCTGACGTGTCCATTGTGGCGGAACTCTGATGCGGAGAAGACGACGATGCTCTGGTGATGGGGTCCGAGGACCCTGTCCATGACATCAAGAGCGTCATTATCGCTCGGTGCGACCAGCGTTCGCTCAATCTGATGCGAGGTAATGAGGATGCGCAGCACGTCCTCGTTGTCGACCTGCACGTCAGTTCAAACCCTCGAGTGAGCAACCCACCTCCAGCTTGCTAAGAACGGTTTCGCCAACGCCTTGGCGAGCGAGATCGCCGTTCGAGAAATCGAAGCGGTCTCCCTTGTACCAAGTGACGGCGGGAAGGTTAGGCGGGCCTCGATCGCGAGCGGGGCTGGCAGAGAAGTTGCTTGGGTCAGTCTCTTCCTTCGCGTCCGACATACTTATCCCTAGCGCACTGTTCGAAGATGCGCTGCAGAGTGTTCTGGTCGGCAGGATCACGAACTGCGAAGGAGCACAGAGAGCTTCCCAACATGTTGGAGAGACAGTTACGGTACACGGGGTCTTTGAGCTTGACGTGCAATCCCAATGGCCCGATCGGTTTTGAATGCTTCCACTGAGCTGCCTCAATGGCTTGCATGACCCAGCGGAGGTTGCGCCCATACGGAGCCAGGCGATCGGTACGACGAGCTTGAAGGTTGTCCAAGCTGCGCTTGGCCTCGCTATATTGTCTCTCGGCCTCGGTGGCCTCGAGCTGGATGTCACTGAGAGCCTTCGTTGCCTCGTCAAGCTCAGCTTTTGCCGTCGCGACAGCGCGTTCACTTTGAGGAAGCTGTCGCTGCAGGCCGCTCTTTTGCGCATCGGCTTTCTCCAGTTGAGCGAGCAACTTGACTTGCTCGGGGTTCATCTCGCCGGCCTGCTCGCGTTGCGCGGCAGCGAGCTTCTCCTCCATCTCGGCAATCTCCTCATCACGGCTCATAATCTCGCCCTTGCACTCCTTGACACTGGCCTGGACGTGTCAGCGGTGCGACTCATGCCTTCACCCACCTTTGCAGCTTGAAGGGCAGTACGCGCCTCCTGCAGCTTCTTCTTCTTGGCTGACATCTCCTGCTGCGTCTGGCGATTGTCCTCGACGAACTTGGCAATCTCCTCGCGGATCACGGTAACGTCACTCTTGGCCTTCTCCTGCGCAGCGTCGATCTCTTCGAGTTTGGTCTCGAGCATGTCGATCTTTGCCTGGAGCTCATTGGCGAATTGACGGACCGTCTCAATGTCACGCTCCTTGTCGTGTACGAACGCCCAAGCCAGTTGCGCCTTGAGGTCCTCCTGCTTCTTGCGCAGATTGCGAGCCTTCTCGGCGAACTGGATGAGGTTCTGGAGCTTCTTGACCTTGCTTTGCTGTTCTGGTAGTGCCTCCTCGGCATTGGCAAGATCGCGCGAGAGCTTCTCTCTATGGATCTTCGTCGACTGGTACTCCTCCATGATGCTGGCCAGGCCTGTACCCTTTAGGAAGAACTGGGTGGTCAGTGTGGAGTTGATGGGTCGCGGAACACTCACCGAGTACATGACCTTGGGATCGGTACGTGCGAGGAAGGTCTTGGCGTTGTCTTGAGTGAGCATGCACAGTGGCGAGTCGATGCTGATTTGCCACTGGCTGCACATTTTGTTCAGCATGTCGCGCTTGTCCGACAGGATCTTGCCATCCTTGGAAGCTCGAAACTTGAAGTTTGACGCGCCCGACTTGTCAAAGTTGCGCTCGATCACAATCTCGTCGCCAAACAGCTCGGGCATGAACGCGTCCTCGCCGACGTTGCGCATGGTGACGGTCACCTTGGCGCGGCTGGTGTAAGCTTAGCGCTACGCAACGGTAGGGTGCGACCTACTCCTTGCCTGTCATGATCATCGACTTGAGGCCTGCGCCGCGGCCTGTAACTGTCGCTTTGGCGCCGAGCGCAACGGCGAGACCAGACAGAATAGCCGACTTGCCGCTGCCGTTGTGCCCGACAACGAAGTTGACCTTCTCGGCCAGCGTGACAGTGAGATTCTCGTGACACATGAAGTTCTGCAGAGAGATTTCCTTGACTACACCGGCGGTGGCGAGGTCCTCGGGGTTGCGGCGCCCGCGCTCGACGGCGCGCTGGCGCCTCAGCTCCTCGATGTTGGCGTCAACATCGTCTATGTTGTCGTCCATCTCTTCGTCAGACGCGTCGCGCTCGCTGTCTTCGTCGATGACCATAGCACGCTCATCGACGCGTTCGCGCTTGACGCGCTTCACCTGGTGTGAGCTCGCGCCGAGCGGCGCAGACGTACCATCGTCACGCCGTCGCCTTCGTCGGGATCGAGCGACTGCGCCGTCCGCTTAGCGGGAGACGCCGAGGCAGACATGGTTGTGCCGCTTGTGTAGAGAGAGATGTTGTTGAAATGACGGGGACAGGCGCGCGTCGTTTGAGTTTCAGGGGATGACTGGACCGCGTACCCCTTTCTGCCCCGCTCTGACCCCTCGCCATCATGGAACCAAACATGACGATATCTCATCACTTGTCTAGAGCGCATTATCTGATCTACCGTGCCCGTCGCTGGAGCTACCTTCGAGCCATGAGCTTGTCAACGTGCTTGCGAACACCACCCTCCCACTCCTGCCACGTCGTGCTCGCCATCCACGTGTCGCGCTGCATACGGTTCTCCCCGCGGACGCCCGGACGACCCTCTGTCCGTCAGCTTGAGGTCCTCTGTAGTGACTCACTTGCCGCACCCTCGCGGTTGGGTGGGAGGACGACAAACGCGCGCAGTGTGCCTTCATAAGTGAATCCCATGCGCTGAGCAGCGGCGTGAGACGGCTTGTTGAGGCTGTTTGCCTTCCACTGGCAGCGGCGCAGGCCCCAGCCGCCGTCCTCCGGCAGATCCAGGATCTGGTGCATCATGAGTCCGACCATGTGTGTGTTGACGTGTGTGCGCTGGAGTAAGCGAGAACGTGAGGGGGAGAGCTTGGGGATGTGGCTCGGCAGGGCATGTTGACGCGAGATCGAAAACAGCGCCGACAAAGCTAGGCTCCCCCCGTCATTAGAACCCACCTGGAACGGCTTGAGGATGCAGATCCATCCAATCTCACTCATCATGTTGTCGTAGTTGGACTCGAGATACGATGCTGTGCCTGCAAACACGTAGTCGTCGACAGGAGCATCGAGGCGGTCTAGCGGAGCAGAGTAGATGGCCATACGGAGCATGCCGGGGTTGCTGCGCCCGGTCAACTCGCACCATCGACAGACGTCGTCGACGCTCTTCCAGTCGTCGGGGAGGCCGAGCCAGTGCACGATCTCTGGGTTGGCCTGCACACCCTCGAGGAGCGGCTGGGCGTGCAGCGAGGGCTGGGGTTAGGTGGTGTCAGGAGTCACGACGGAGGGAGAACGCAGGGGCTCTCAGCAATAACAAGGATCACCTCCCAAGCGGTTCTGAGCGCCGAGCCACCGAACGGCTGAGAACATCGCCACCTCGTCACATCCACTCTCCTCGCCCTTATCGCTCACCACAAACGGCCGCAACTCGACGCGATCCGAGCGCAGCGGCTTGACATCAAACATGAAGTTGAAGTCGTAGTCCTCAGGCTTCGTCGCGAGATGGCAGTTGGTCTCGACGTCCGTCACCGGCGGCTTATAGTTGTTAGTGTAAGGCATACTGCGTCCGATTTCTCAATGTTGCTGTGATGGATGGAGTGCAACCAGAATGCGGATCCAAGCTCGCCAGATCGCTACCCGAGTCGTGACTCAGTCGGAAGGTGGGCGGTGGAGGGTGGAGGTGGAGGTGGAGGTCAAGTCGCCGACTCAGCTCGGCCTCGGGCCGACACACTGGAGACCACAATATACATGCACCAAATACAGATTACGACGGGCGCGCGAGCGACTTCTTGGACTTCTCATACTTCTTGATCCATGGATGCTTGAGCACGTCTGCGAGCGGCAGCCGGTCCTCGGGGTGGTATCGGAGGAGCTTGGGTCAGCGGTATCCCATCGTCGACTTACGCGCTTGATGAGGTCGGTCGCCTCGGGTGACACATGCGACGGGACATGCAAGTCGACGTTCCTGATGCGGCGGTACGTCGCCTGGCTCCCGTTCAAGTCCTCGAACGGGGGCGTGCCGACGAGGAACTCGTACGCGAGCACGCCGAGCGCCCAGAGGTCGACTTTGGCGTTGTGCTCCTTGCCCTCGACCATCTCGGGGGGGAGGTAGTCGAGCGTGCCGCACAGCGTGCGGCGCCGGTCGCCGGGCGCGTGCACGCTCCATCCGAAATCGCCAATCTTCAGCTCGCCTTTGAGGCCGATGAGGAGGTTCTCGGGTTTGATGTCGCGGTGGATGACATGTTTGCGGTGGAGGTAGGAAAGAGCATCGGCCATCTGGGCGATGTAGCGCGAAGAGCGCTTCTCGTCAAAGCGCCCGTGCTTGCTCAACTGCTTGTACAGCTCGCCGCGGGCGGCAAACTCGATGATGAGGAAGATGCGCTTCGAGTCGTGGAAGTAGCCGTACAGGCGTAGGATGTTGGGGTGCCGCAGGTTCTGCTGGATCTCGATCTCGCGGCGGACTTGCTTTTCAACACGCCCGTTGACGATCTCGCCCTTGTTGAGACACTTGAGCGCGACGATAAAGTGCGGCGCGGCCTTGGTCCGGGCGAGGTACACGCGCCCGAACTTGCCCTTGCCGAGCGGTCGGCCGATCTGGAAGGCGGCAAGGGAGAGGGGAATGGAGCTACGGTCAGGCTTAAGGGCTTCGAGAAGGCAATTGAGTGCCAGAGATTTGGCTAATGGAGAACTCACCCGCCCGCCGCGGATTGCAGCTCGAGCACCTTCGCCGCTTCGCCCGTGATGGTCTCGACGTCGGCGACGTCCCGCTCGAACCCGCCGTCGTACGTCCCCAGGTCCATCTTGCGCTCCTTTGGAACAAGAGAGCTAGCCTGTGTCCGCGCAGCCGTGGCGTGCGCCGGCCCGTGAATTCCGTGGGCCGTATGTTGTGTGGGCTTGCGCGGGGACGTGCGGGTTTTCTGAGGGATCGCGCTTGCGCTTGCGGTGGAACTCGCAGTGGCGTTGTCCGCAAGCGCCTGAAGTGCTGCTCTGCTGTGGCTCTCAAGGCCGGTGTTGGGGGGCCGCACGAGGTGCGGGTTCATGTATTTCTTCATTAAGGGGGGCAGGCGGTTGGATTGTGACGGCTGGGATTGCGAGGCGTGGGAGGGCTGGGAGCGCGGCGAGGCGGGCGCCGCGCGAGAGTGAAGCGACAGCGACTCCATCAGGTGTGGAAGCTGTGACATGGTGGCAATGGGGGTTGGGATGAAGATTGGAGGTGTATCAGAGAGAGACAAGGCTGAGCAATGTTTGTTGCCAGGGCCGAGAGAAAGCAGGCGCGGCTCGGGGGGAGGAATGCGACGACACGTCATTTTTCGTGCCTGATTTTCAGTTTGATTGGAAACCTGAGTGTTCTCGGCTTGTTTCCGCTCCTCTCTGAGACCTCAACAGTTGGCCACGAACTAATGCATCCTCATATTAGGGTATAATGATTAGGTGGAACTGTTCTAACGAAAGCACCGGAGTAATTGTCGTAACGTACGCCATTCACATTCGTATAGGGGAAGAGGGGAAACTGTGCCTCGGGCACAGTTTTACTCGGCTCTGGCGCGGGGCGTGGGGGGTGCAGCCTCGGCTCTGAGACCGAGGGAGTCCGTCGAGACTGTGGGGGTTCTGAACGGCGAGACGGGGGCGGTGGCAAAGTCGGCATTGCTCATCGAGTCCACTGTCGAGGCGACGCTCTCCGTGCGCGCATGCGGGAACTGCGGGAGCGGAGGGAGCGGGGGGAGCGCCGCGTTTTCGTACCGGTCAACGTGGTCGGGCGTCGTCGCCGTCGGGTCCACCTTCGTGGGCGCCGCGCTTTTCGCGGGTGAGCTAAGGTCGATGGCTTCGCCGAGGAGCTGCGACTCGTCGGCGGCAGGCTCGGTCTGCTCCTCTGCGACATGGCCCAACTCAGCCTCATACGGCTCAGTCGTGACTGACGCGAGTTGGGGCGAGGGCGAGGGTGCACCAGAGCGCTTCTGCCGCCCATCGCTGGGAGCCTGCAATGAAGACGCGTCGGAGTCGTCGCCGTTGGTGTGGGCGGCCGCAGCAGCGACGCTAGAGGTCACAACAGGCCCCGCAGTGATGCCAAAGGCGTCGAGAGGCGGTGTCTTAATCGGGGCGCTGCTCTCGGCGAATGTGGCGACGTTGGGGCTAGGCTGCAGGCTGCGGCTCTCCTCCTTGATCGGGGTCGGCATACTCGGAATCTCGGACTCGCCAAGTGCGCGGAGAGCGTCCAGCCCAGGGGTGTCCTTATCTATAAAGGCCGAGAGGCGAGGGAAGGTAGTGTCGGCTTTACGCAACGGCGACTCGGTGGGTGACTCAACAGACTTGGTCGGCACGATCGTGGGGCCCTCGAGCAGAGGCGACTCCGAGAACATAGGAGGGCTCTGGCGAAGATTGGCGAGATCAGGCGACGCGATGCGCAGATCGTCACCGAAAGCCGAGAGACGGGGGAAGAGGCCAGCCTTCGGAGCAGTAAGAGAGCCCTGTCTAGCGAGCCTGGCCGGTGTGTACGGAGACGCGGGTGTGTACTCGGGGGAGGAGAATGTCTCGCGGATTGGCATGGCCGGAGTGTGGGGCGAGTCAGACAGCTCTCGGGCGATTTCAGACTTGGGCTCGCCTGCAACGGGCGACCCAGAAACGGTCGCTTCCGTCGCAGCGGGCGGCTCAGAGCCACCGGCGTGCACATCGTCGGCAAGCTCGATGGTTCTGGGCGCCTCCACCGGAGCAGCGGCGGACACCCCGCTGAGAGCAGCCACATATGTCTCAGACTCGACCGCAGCAGAGGCAGCAGTTTCCACAGAAGGAGCGTGGACCTCGGCAGGAGCATGCGCCTCGGACTGGGTCTCAGTCACAGGCGCAAGGGCGACCACACGGTCGGCCTCCACGCGCGTGATCTTGACCTCCTCCGCCTCCTTGGTGAGTTCAGTAGCAAGCTCAGCGGCAGGCTGGGCAGTCTCGGCAGCCTCGACGAAGGGAACGATCGGCTCGACGGGAGCAGGGACAGACTCAGGAGACGCCTCGGTGGCAACAGTCTCAGTGGGCGCAGTAGCCTGGACCACTTCCTCGACCTCCTCCTTGACGGCGGTGGGGGCCGCCGCAATCTCTGGAGCGGCAACGGCGGTAGTATCCTCACTGGGGGCATCCTCAACAGCAGGCGAGCGCATAGCAGGCTCTGCGGCCTTGGGCTCGGCGGCGATTTCGACAACCTGCTCGGTCTCCGGCTGGACATCCTTTACGGGCTCGGACTGGGTCGTGACTTCCGTGGCTTTAAGGGGAGTATCCCTGACCTCGTTGACCACCTCAGACTCAGACGCAGCCTCCTTAGTTTCAGGCTCCTCCTGGGGCTTGACGATGGTCTCCTCAGTCCCCTTCGCCTCCGCGGCCTCGGTAGACTTGGCCTCCTTCGCCTCCTTAGTTTCGGCGGCCGCGTGCTTGTCCTCCTTAAGCGCAATAGCGGCAGCGGCCGCGGCCACCGCCCCGGCCCCAACACCTGCAGCGGCAGCGGCAGAGGGGGAAGTGGGCGTGGTGGGGCTCGCCCCGCTCTTCTTGGGCTTGCGGAAGCGCGCCGCAAAGCCGTCCTCCTTGTCGCGCCGGGGCGACTTGGGCGGCGGCGTAGGCTTGAGCGGCTTGATGGGCGAGGTCTGGTTCTGGTTCTGGCTGGCGCGGCGGTTAAAGAGTGACGAGATGCGCGCCACGCGTGATTTGCCCTCAAGGTCGGATGTCTTGCGGCGGAGCGCAACTTCGGGCGAGAGCGAGCCTGATGAAGGCGACGGCTTCACGGCGGACGACATGGTGGTGGTGCTGGGGGAGCGCGAGTCCTTGGAGATTGTGGCAGCGGCGGCTCCAGCCACTCCGGCGGCGACGCCTGTCAGCGCGAGAGCGCCAAAGCCAGCCTTCTTGTCAGTAGAGCTGGACGGGGCCTCGACGGCCGCCGGCAAGGGAGGCGCAGGAGCGGTCTCGACAACGGTGGGCGTGGCGGGGGCATCAGGGGCAGCGGTAGCCTCCGAAGCGGCGGGCTCGGCGACCTCCTCCTCTACCTTGGCCTCAACAAATGCGGGGACCCCGGCCTCGACAGGAGCGAAATCCGTCTTCAACACGGCAGGAGGAGACATCTCGGGTGCATCCTTGGCATCAACTGCCGCCGCGAGCTCAGCTTCGGCTTGCTCGACCACAGTCGCCTCAGTCGCCTCTGGCTCAGCGGGCGCAAGAACCTCTAGTGCAGTAGGTGCAGCAGTCTCATCAACGACAGCGGGAGCTCCAGGCGTAGTCTCGAGCTCCCGTGTTACGGGCTGAGCAAGCGCAGGCACCTCGCCGGCTGTAAGCTCGGTCACCGCGGCCTCGGCCTTGGACGGCTCGGACACGGACGCAGACAGAGGGACATGGGCGAAGGCGGGAACAATGGACTCCGTCAGCAGCGCCGGGGCCTCTGGCGCGACCTCTCTGCCGGCCCTGTCGGTGCGCTCAGACCCGAGGTCGGGGGAGAAGCGCTCAATCGCAGCACGGACTTCAGGCTCGATATCCTCGTGCGCCTCAGCGACGGGCGAGGGCGAGACGTCAGGGATGGCGCTGGCCAGTGCCGTGTTGGCTGCGTCGATACTCGCGATGGAGCGCGCGCTCGAGTCGTCAGGATTCGGGCTGCCGTGCATGGCATACACGCCGCCAGCTGCGGCGAGGGTAGCGCCCGCGGTTCTGGAGAGGTTGTGGTAGCTGTGGTGGGGCGAGTCCTCGGGCTCAGCGGAGATGACGACGGTCTGCTCCTCGCTGCCCTTCGTCTCGGCCCAGTGGCGCCAGAGCTTCTCGTCCAGCGCGTGCCACTTGCCGAGGTTGGTAAGTGGCTTGAGGTCTGTGTCGATAATCTTGACCACGGAGCGCGCCTCGTCGAGCTCGTACCCGGCGCCAGTGTTACGGAGAACGGCGCGGACGATCATGCTGCAGTCCTTGAAAATCGCGGAGAGCATGAACGCAATCTCGCGCTGGCGGAGCGTCCAGGCATCGGGGGAGCGTGCGCCAGCCGTCGGATCGGCGAGGTACAGCTTGACAAAGGAAGAGAGCTCAGCTGCAGTCGGCTCGGCGACAGACTCGAAAGGCTTGTTACCGGGGTACGCCTCAGAGTGCTGCCTCGCGAGGTCTGAGATGTTGGTCGCGTCGAGCGTGCTCTGCAGCTGCTTGAGCTGCTGCAGCGCACTCGACTTCTCCAGCAGAGGAATGAGGAAGTCCGCCGTGCCGTCGGAGAGATCTCCCGCGTGCGCCGTGGGAATCAGCTCAGCACTTGGGGGAAGGACCATCTTGCCGTCGACGTAGACGCGGAGGTTGTTTTTGTCCCCCGCCGAGCTGTGCCACTGCGCCCAGAGACCGTCGAGGGCCTTCCGGACACGGCTACGGTCGGTCGAGTAGAGGTCGATGGGGCAGTAGACGGTGCCGTCGACGTCCTCGCCGCGGTGGTGCTGGTGCAGGCAGAAACGGCAGTTGCGCGTCTTGATGGGAATAGACTCGGGTGGGTGCAGATGCTGCGCCTGGGGAAGGAAGCCCCACTTGGGCTTGATCTCGATGGCGAGGACCTTCTGACCTGTCATGCCGCAGGTGAGGTCATCCATGAGCTGCGCGGGACGGCCGTAATCAACACTCTCAGCAAGTGGCTTGCCCTCGGCGCGGCGCTCAGCGGGGCGCATAAGCTCGGTGGGAGTCACCACAGCGCGCGTCCATTTGCTGTCGACCGCGGTGGGCGTCGGTGTGGCCAGGAGGCTGGCGGGGACGAGCTGGGGAAGTAATTCCGCGGCCCAAGTGTTGCGCAGCGCAGCGTCGGCTGCGGCGCCGTCCGTCTTGACGAGCCGCATCGCGCGGCCCTGCAGTGCAGGGTTGGTGCCACGGTAGCGGAAGATGACGTGTGCTCCACCCTCGCCGAGGTACACCCAGTCGGTGGGGGCGGAGCGTGCGAGCACGGGATCCATGGGAGTGGCCAGTGGCGAGCGCGGCGTGTTGGGGGAAACGGGCGGCGAGGATCCGACGTCGGGAATCATGACGATCTCACCCATCTCGCCGATAGTATACTCCGTAGGCGTGTCCGAGGCACCCGAGCTTCTCGCCATGTGCCTGGACTCACGCTGCTTGTAACTTATGGGCTGTAACGAGCGAGAGCGAGTGGGAGCAGTGTGGGCCGCCAGCTCGGCAAAGTATGACTTGCGGCGGAACTTGCTCGCCAGGCTGGAGAAGCCAAAGGCCGTGCTGAAGCGGGAAGTGGTTGTTTCGGTGGTGCTGGGTGAGAAGGGACGGAGGGGATCTGGTGAGCGGAGATCAGGCATGGGCTCGTCGATCGAGGGCGCACGCTTGACCTCGCGCTTCTTGACCGTGACAAGGAGCCAGCTGACGGCGTCGGGATTTGGGGGTGTCTCCAGCGGCTGCGCCAGCTGCACGAGGGCAAAGCGCGGCCACGACGCCGACGCGACAGGGTCGAGCTGGCCATCCTCCACAAAGTGAATGAAGCCGTCGTCCATCTCTACAATCTCCTCTGCCGAAATGACGTATGACGTCGTCGGCTTGCCGCCCGAAATGATACGCTTCTTGGGGACCTGGAGGTGAGAGCTGGCCGACGCGGAGCCAGCAGACGCGGTGGACGTCGCAGAGAGACGGAGGGGCGTGGTGGGCTTCCTCAAGCTCAGGGAGAGGTCGCTGACGCCGTTGGACGTCTCGCCAAAGCCGCTCTGCAAAAAGTCATCCCACTGGGGTGGGGAGGAAGGTGATCCACGAGGGGGGCTCAAGTTCATCGCCGAGCTCTGGCGGATAACTCCGCGTCGTGGGCTTTCCAATCCAGCGTCACCGCCAACCTCAGCACGCGGTGTCTCGCACGACATGGACCGCCGACGCCCCTCGAACGGCTGGTACTGGAACTCGTCGTCCGGGAGGCGCTTAGGAGTGGTTGGGGGCGTGGCAAAGTCGAGTCCTTTCGCGGCGGCCAGCTCTGCCAGGAACTCGCGCGAGTCGGAAGACAGTACCGTATCGAGCGTGACAACGTTGCCCTCGCCTCGAATGGACTGCCAAGACGGGGCAGTCACGTCGTCGTCGAGCTTTGCGATCAGCGCGTCTCCCAGCGCTTTGTCTGGGTCGGTTCCTGTGGGCAGAGTCGAATCAGTTCCAAGGGTGATGTGAAGCACTCTGCGTGGGAAAGTCGAGGCGGGCGGGAGAGGAAGGTGTTCCGAGGACGCTGATGACTCGCCGAAAGGGTACGAAAGGATGAGCTGGACCAGGCGTCTAGGCATCTTCTGCTGCGTCGTCTGCCAGCGTACGCGGGCGTAAAAGAGGTGCTCGGCGCGCTGTCCCGAGAGGCGGTAGGCCTCATAGAGGTCACTCCAGCTCGTGGTGCCGTCTGGCATGGCGCCAAGAAGCCACCAGCCGAAGAGGTGACAAAGCCTGCCGGCGCTCATCGAGTTGGTGTCTGCATGCAGGGCAATGGCGGACACGACCTCGAAGAGGGCTGCCAAGAGGCCAGCAACCTCCTTGCTGAGATGCGGCTCGAGCATGGTCGAATACGCGACGCGGGGGTATGACGCGGCATGCTCTTGCTGTACGAAACGGACGTACGTCGCAGGATCGATAATGGGGCGCGTGTTTGCGGCGAGGCGGCGAAGAATCGTCTTGAGCACCTCGGCCAGGTCTGCAGGGTTTGGCGTGTCCTTGGCGACTGCGACAAGACGCGACTTCCATGCGTCGGATGCCTCGCCCGCGGGAACTGTAGGGTATCTGGAAGTGAGGGAAGGGAGCTTCTCGGCGAGCTCGGGGCGGCGGGCGAGGACAAACAACGACGCGAGCTGGCGCTGGCGGTCCTTGCTTGTCTCGAGGCGGCGGGGGAGCATAATCCCCACGGTCTCGGCTCCTGGTGTGTCAGCGGGCGCACGGGGTCGCGAGATATTTTTGCATGTGGTTGCGATGCGTACCTCTGGTGGCGAACTCAGGCCCGAGCCATTCCCACACGGCCTGCAGATCGGCGGGCGTGTAGCGCTGAGCGTCGAGGACGCGACGCTCGGCCGATGTCAGAACGGGAGTGCGGCCAACGCCGTCGAGTCCGAGGCTTGCGTCGATCTCGGTCGCCTGCGCCTCAAAAGGAAGGGATATGTTGATGCGGGGCGGGGCAGGCGACGACGCGGTGCGCCCGATGGAGGGAGCTTGGGCGGTAGTGCATGAGAGAGTGGCGGAGGTGGCGGACGCCTTGAGGCGCTTGGTAGCTAGGCCATGGCTTTCGCTGCTAGCTCGACGTGCGGCTTCGGCCTTGAATTGTCCCGAGGGTTTGACGGGGTTGCGAACGGAGCGGGCGCGCTTTGGGGAAGTGGGGGATGCGGGGCGGCGGTCGGTGGGCTTTTGACGCTTCTTTGAGGAGAAGAGGGAGAAGAGGGAGACCATGGTCTGTCGTCCCGGAGTGGCGGGGCGGGGCGGCGGCGGGCGGCGTGGAGCAAAGGAGTGTGGTGGGTGGGTGGTGGGGTATGGAGGTGAGGGGGGAATGGAATGAGAGTGTTGAACGGCGCGTTGATGAGAGATGAGACACAGAAAGCGAAGGGCCGAGGGGAGAGATAAGGACGGAGAGAGAGAGAGAGAGAAAGAGAGAGAGATGAAGAGGAAGCCGACGAGGATGAGGAGGATGACGGACAAGGACGAGTGAATGGTGAGCAGGCCCCGAGGCCCGACTAGGAGCCGGATGAGGCGGCTGTTCGAATGGACGCGTCAGGGCCCTGGTCCCATACAAGATGCTCTCGCCCTGGAGTCTGCGGGAACGTCAACGGTATGCCCAAAGAGACGTTGCTATTCAGGGCTAATAAAAGCCCATTAGGGAAACCATCACCCACCAAAAGTCAGTCGGGTGTCTTGTCACTCCCGTCCTCTGTCACGCCGCTCGGCTGCTCGCTCCACATGGCCACATGGCGACCACAGTATTTAGTGTATCGCTAAAGACTCTAATAGCTCGCTATGGCTGGCTTACTTTGCTTCCCAGTCTCTCCTCGTCATTTTCCGTGTCATTCACACTACTCTCCACACTTCGCAGCAAGATAATGCATACAACATGGTCAAGATCAAATCCCATCAGATCCAAGATTCTGGCAATCATCCGTGCCTGCTGAACTCTGCCTCATGACGCGTCCGTCTCCGCGTCCCACCGTGCCATACTATCCGGCGTAACGGCACCGCGGCGTTTTCGGCTCGCGATCCCGTCATCCATGCCGACATCAACGCCGGGAGTGTCGATCACGCGAGCCCCATGAGGCATGTTGCCTCCGTCCCCGTTCTCGTTTCCGATCTCCTCACCCTCACCCTCGCCCTCGCCATCGCCATCGCCATCGCCATCGCCATCGCCCTCCTCGACATGGTGGTAGTTCATGTCGACGCCGTCCGGCGCCACAACGCGCGCGTACTCGAGGAACAGGCGAAGCATGTACGCCTGCATGTCGGCGTACCGGAACATGCGCTGCACAAAGCACTTGCCATTGTGTCCGAGAGCACGCGCGGTCTCGTCAAATGCGAGACCAGGCTCGGCGGGCGTGCCGCTGAAGAAGGCCATGATCGTCTCGAGGTCGCTGAAATCCAGTTTAGAGGGCACGTAGTGGAACCAGGGGACGAGGTGGGGCGCAAACCACTCAGTAAAAATGCCCGTTTTAATCACGACAGCGTTGCTGCCCATCAGGCGCCGGAAGCGCCCGCTCCACCCATTCCCGTCAATGTCCAGAAGGAATTTGGCGTCACGCGTTGCGCTCGGGGGGTCGTACGGTGCCCATTCAATCTCCTCCCTGCCGTCAGATTCCGCTGGGCAAGCTAGAGCTCACTGCATCTCGTCGCAGGTGCCGTCGTCCTCGTCGCATTGAATTGGGCCTCCTGCTAGCCGCATGTTGAAGAACCACCGGGCCGACTCCTCCGCGTCCATGGTCTCGGTGCCGAGTCCAACGGTGGACGCGTTGAGACGGGGGACGAGAATCTCGCGCTGCCCCGTCATGTTGTTGGCGAAGAGGTGTAGGCGCCAGCGGTGAGAGTCACGCCACTTGACGCCTTGGTGCATCATCGAAATCCCAGTTGCGGAGCCGCGCCAGTACAGTCGTGGGTCACGCTTAGCAGCCCAAGGAATATCCGGACGTATATGTCCAAACTGCTCGAGTGGCGTGATGAGGATGTCGCTGTTAAGGCTAGTTTTGGCCAGCGAGAAGAGAGGTAAGAGCTGTGTGTGTGGGCGAGGATGTGAGTCTGGCTCGTGTGGCTCGATCGTGAGCCCGTGGAGAGGGGCGAGGTAAGGGTTGGCACAAATGTCGCTCGCGGCAATGCTATCATGCACGAGCGAGCGACCTGACGTCGCGTTTGGCTCTGTCCGAAACGCCGAGTCCGGCGCACAACTGCGGGTCAGGCGAACGTTGCCATCGTCAACCTCTGCGAGGTGCGTTGTGTGTTTTCCACTCAGCCCGAGAGAGACGAGCGACTCGCGCCTCGCCCAGCTGAGGTAAATCTGTGGCTGGTCAAAGATGCTGAATGTGGCTCGGAAGTCGGGGAGATGTGCAGCGATGCTGGCAAGCATTCTGAAGTAAGCCCCGGCCCTTGGATGCACCCACTCAGCCGTTTGGTTTGCCCGCCCCTCCGTGCCGTCCCATGCCAGGCCGCCTTCCTTGATGTCGACGTACACCGTACCATTCCGCAGCTCGAGGATGAATACCTCGTCCATGGCCTCGTCAGCCGCTAACCTTCTGCTGAGCTCCTCTTTGGGGAGCGCCCAGAACGGCGCAAGGTCGCGGTGAATGCCATCGTACTCGTCCGGGAGAACAACATTGTGCGCCTGCGCGAACGCCCACCACTCGTCAAATCCCCTCGGCGGCAGTCGCTCGTACCGCCGCTCGTACTCGGCCACAGCCTCAGAGAGTGTCTGGCTCTGCGAGGCGAGAAGGGATGCCCAGCGCTCCTCACCCAGCGTCAGGAGAGTAGGAATCGGATGTGGCGCATTTGGGTCGTCCGAGAGCATGAGATGGCCCGTCTCGGAGAATGTGTGACCCCTCGAGCGAGCATGATGCCCCGCACCGACCGGCACGCTCCCGATTTCCTTCCGTATCCGAGCAAGGTCCCGCGCAAATGCGTCGACTGTTGACATGAAGCCGCATTGCGGCTCTGGTTGGCGCCATGTAAAGGTCGGGTAGTGGTGGACTGGCAGAAACCAGAGGGAGATGAGCAAAATCGGGGCGAGGAGGACCAGGCGCCGGCGGAAGAGGCGCCGGAGAAAGTGGCGCGGAGCGTCGGTGTAGCGGGGCGCACGCCCAGGCATGAAGTCTGGCGGGTCGGAGAGGTGAAAGGCCCGCGTCGAGATGCTGCTCCGTGTAAAGGTATTGGAGCGTTGGCGGGTGGGGTGCGGCTTCTTGCGTGGTGGCTCCGCAGACGTGAGGCTGTGGCCTCGGGAGTGCATCGTATGCTGCATGCTAACGGAGAGGGGCGGAGGGGGAGGCGGGCAAGGAGGAGGGGGGAGAAAGAGGAGATAAGAGGTAGACAGAGGAGGAGGGGATGCCGATACCTTGCGATGGGAGAGAATGTCGTGTGCCAGCCGACAGCTAAGGCCTGGATGTGTACAGCTCCGAGCTGCGCCAGCGCTGCCCGGTCTGTCGTCGTGGTGCGGGTGCCCGTCGCCGCCGTAGCGTTCTAGTGTCTCGCCCGATCGCCTAGTGTTTAGCGTGTGAGCTCGAGAGTGGGGAAGGTTGACAAAGCAACGTGCATCCAAAGTTGCGTCGAGCCTATTCAGTACCGACCTCCACCCCACTCTTGTACCTATAGAATCACAAGCCTCCGCAGTGCGCGGCGCACCTCGGCGCCGGACAGCCACAGGGCTAAATGAATTGCATGTCAATCTCACAGAGGGTGTACCAGTGCCGGCCACCACAACTATAACGGCCAGGCCCTGGTATTCTTAGCTTGCGCAACTGTGCAGCGTTTGGGTTCTGATGAACAACAATAATAATTGTCAGATCCCACCCAACCAAGACTTCTAATCGCGATATGTAGGCACCGCGGGTTCCTGGTACCACGAACATCATCTTGCAATCAGTGCCGGCCGGTAGCACCGCTGTGTGCCCTCCTGCCCCGCCGCTCCGCCGCTCTGGTACAAACTCACTATCCATGAGCACTACGAAAACACGAAAGGGTATACCTCTACGACTGTGCACAACTCATTAGGCGGGTACAAGCCGCGTCCCAACGACGCGACGGTGGAGAGCGACGCAGGCCCATTCCACCTAGTACCGGTACGTCGCCGCCTGGGCGTACGGGCTTGAGGGGCCGGCCGATCCGTCCGTGGGGCGACCCGAGATCGCAAAGTCGGAGCCAAAGTCGATGGGTGCCGGCGCGTGGCCAACGCTAGGTCCCCGCTGCAAGTCGGCGTACCCGCCAGCGTGGCCATGCTGACTGTGATCGGCGTAGGAGCCGTGCCCGTGCGCAGAGTGCTGCTGGTCCGGCGCATCCTGCGTCGGGTAGTCGTTGAAGTAGGCCCCGCCTTGCTGAGGCGGGTATCCTGTGGCTCCAGCGTTCCAGTCCTGACGAGGGGTCGAAAAGTCATAGTTCTGCGAGCCGTTGTTGTTGTTGTTGTTGTTGTAAGGGCTCGGCTGGTAGCCGTAACCGCCGGTAGCAGGTCCAGCCGTAAAGTCGTGCTGAAGATCGGAGACCAGAGTGGCATCCTTTTGGGCGTCGTTGTCGAGCTCGATACAGAACTGCTGCCGCTGGCGCTCGGCGTCCGCGTCACGCGCCATGGTCTTCTCAAAGAAGTCATCGCCCATGTCGGTGTTGTTGGGCGAGAAGTCGACAGGCTGCATGCGCTGGTCAAAGCCCTTGGAGGGCTTGAGCTTCCACTTGCGGAAGAGGGTCCAGGCGATACCTCCCACACCGATAACGACCGAGCAGACAATAATGGCGATCAAGGCGCCCTTTGGCAGCCCGCTGTTTGAATCCTCCTCAGAGTCCTTTGCGGCCTTTGAGGCAGATGCCGATGCGGTAGCTGTCCTGACGACGGTGCGGCTGCCAGCGGAGCGCGAGTTGGAGGGGGAGGAGACAATGTCCGTGTCGATTGCGCTCGTTCGGGATTGAGAGACTGAGGATCTGATCGAGCTGATCGCGGCTGAGGTGGCCGAAGTGCTGGCTGGGTGTTAGCGGGGGTGGCAGGTGTGGGTGCGGCAGAAGGGGAAGGAGGTTGGAGTGGCCCGTGCGCTTGACTCACGAGTGCTCGAGGTAACTTGAGACGAGGTATCGGCGCTCGACGTGTCGTCAGCGGAGGTGGTGGTGGTTGGAGGGTCGGAGGACGATGGCCTGGTGCTCGAGCTTGAGGGAGGGGGCGGGGGGGTGGTCGAGGAAGGAGGAACAAATGAGGAAGTGGGGCCCTCGGTGGAAGGGGAGGAGGTGCTGCTGCTGGAGCCACCGCCGCCGGTGTCGGTATCGGTGCCGTTGGCGCGAGCTATGAGCTTTGCGTGATGGCGCCTGTAGGCGGGATGGTTTGGGGGCAGGCTGGCGAGAGCCAGGGGGAGGAGGAGGAACGCGATGCGCATGTTGGGTGAACGAGTGTGTATTTATTGCGCACCGGGCGGGGTAGTGAGGGAGGGGGAGTGAGCGACGAGAACGAGGAGAGAGGGCCAGTCGAGTATGTTGAAGAGGAGGAGGAGGAGGAGGAGGAGGA